AGGAGGCGGTTTCCAAGGGCGCCAAAGCCCTCTACGGCGAAGTGAAGCTCCTCGCCCCCACAAAGTTGCAACCCGTCATCCTGTCCGGGTTGACGCCAGACATGGAGATCTACGACAATGAATCCTTCGGGCCAGTCCTGGCCGTGCATGCCGTGGAGAGCGACGAAGAAGCAATCGCACTCGCAAACAGCACCAAGTACGGCCTGAGCGCAGGAGTGTACAGCAGAGACATCAGCCGCGCACTGAAGGTTGCGAGCCGCATCGAGGTCGGGCAGACGCACATCAACTTTCCCATGGGCACGGGGACCGACGAGGCGTCTCTGGCCGTGGGGCTCTCGAAGGCGAGCGGCTGGGCAAAGCAGAATGGAGGCTACGGCTTGGACGAATTCCTGGAGTTGAGGACCATAACAGTAACGGATCCGGCTGAGTTCGCGGCCGGCATGGCCCAGATGGCACAGCAGTGAAAAGGGAGGAGGGACTGATACTCAGATAGATCGCCACCTTGATAGCCAAGAGTAACTTGCTTCTAGGAGGTTCACAAATATCACACTGGTCAAGCCCTCAGTCCCCTTAAACCATAAGCTTCATAAGCAGTCAGAATCTCCAAAGGTTTGAGGTAAGGGCTTAGCGTAACTGTTGTCGAATCTGGCTCTCAACCAAAAACCCTCCCAGCTGGGAGCAAGCAACAGTCGATCGGGGCACGGCTTTGACCTGGCCCCCCGCGAACCCCGTGGCGGCCTGGGCACGTCGGGGAAAAGAGGGTCAGTCCATGTGGGGTCGGCAATTATCCTCATCAGGTCTAGCATTCTATATCTTCTCAAGCCTGCTTGTTCGGATTTCTGATTCTCTCTCCCGCAATCAGAGACAAGGTATGAAGTTCGTCCGTGCCACTTGGGACCGAAAAGTCCGGCGGGTACATAGCCCCCTGTTTTGACGGGAGCGACTCGCATTGCCCTCTCACCGCTGGTATGTCTGAGGCTGAACAGGTTTTGACCATGTCAGCTGAGTCTGCCTAAAAGAGATGTCTACCACGCTGCCGAGCCCGGCTGCAAAGCTTGGGTACGAGCTCGCTCGTTTAAGCTTGGGTTGAGAGCGTGCTATGGGCAGTAGACAAAAAGGCACAACAGACATGGCTACAACGCAGTGGGATTCAATATATCAGAACCAGTTTCGGCCGAAGCCGCTTGTTATTCGACTAGGTATCCGTGTTCCGCGCCAACAGAACGCTGCGCGACAGATTCGCCCTTCGTTGGACATCATCCTTTCCTCCATCGCGAGGAGTCTGTCGAGAGTCGACTTCTCTGTCACCACAAGGGCAGCTAGCGGCTGTCCGTTCTCTTTCTTTGTGACCCAGACTGTACTTTTGAGTGCTCTGCTGGGAAGAGCGAAGCCTTTTCATGCCTTGAATTCATGCTCTGCCTCTGCTGTGATCGGCGTTCCCTTCTCTTGAACAATAGAAGCCGTTCGCCCGGCGAGATCACTGGGGTGTTCCGCCCCGGTAATACCAAGTCTCTCATTGATGCGTTGCATTCGGTCTCGATCAGCCTGGGCGACGCTTTCGATGGAGCCACCGAAGAAGACGTCGAGCTCCTCAAGGGTCTTGTTCTTTGTCTCTATCAAGCATGGTCAGCATCATGACACCTTGCCAGGGTGGCTCGGACTCTCTCACCTGGGCACAGAAACCAGACAAAGGCACCGCCCGCCCCAGAGAAGAAGGCAAAGAAGATATAAGTACCGAATCGCATCGAGTTGATCATGTCACGGGTTGTCAGACCGATTATGAAGTTGAACATCCAGTTCGTCGAAGCCACAATCGAGACACCGCGGGATCGCATGCTGTTGGGGAAGAGCTCTTGGGTGAGCACCCAGGCGACGGGGCCCCACGAATAGGCGAAGTTGACCGCGAAGAGCCAGATGAAGGCGATGGAGACCCAGCCAGGGGTTTTGGCAAGACCTTTACCCAGCGCCCACTTGTCCTCGTACACGCCGTCTACCGACGCGACGACGATATGGCAGGCACACATACCAATCGCCCCGACGATCAAGAACGTCTTTCGACCAAAGTTGTCGAGGAAGAATACTGATGGGAGCGTGAAGAGGATCTGCAGGATACCGGTAACGCCGGTGGCCAACAGGTTGGTGGTGACTGAGCTAAAACCGAAACTTCCGAAAATCTGTGGTGCGTAGTACCTGCGACCAAATTAGGTTGCTGTTCTAGGGGAGCTGCGGCTTCTACTCACAAGACGGCGTTGATACCTGTGAATTGCTGGAATCTACCCTCGCAGTTAGGACTCGCGGGTACATCGGAGCAGGCACAATGGGACTCACATCATGATCCAACATCCAATGCTCAACCGCTTGAACATGTTTGGGGCGAACAGAGCCTTCCAAGGAGCGAGAACACCGCCACTCCCCTTCATCTCAGCCTCGGTCTCTTCGTCGAACATGACAGTCGCCTTGATTTCGAGGAATTCGGCGACCAGAAGCGGGTCAGAAGGGTCGAGTCTTCTCAGCCTGGACAGTGCGGCCACACAGTCATCTTCGCGATGTTTCATCATCAACCATCGGGGAGAGAATGGGAGAAAGAACATGCCGAAAAACAGGATCCAGGCGGGGATCAGCTGAAGAGCCAATGGCACACGCCAGGAGACCGTCTTCTCGCCGAGACAAGTGTGGCCGTGTGCCAGGTACGGTTCGAAAGTGTTGGTCGAAGAATAAGGATTCGCTACTCCTGCAGGGTCACAGTGGCTACCCCCGACAAAGTGCATGCCATAGTCGAGCCAGAAGCTGATGCAGGTACCGATGGTGATGGACAGCTGCTGCAGCGATACCAGAGAGCCTCTGAGTTCCGGAGGGGCAATCTCGGCCTGGTACAGAGGAATCACCATGCTGAACATGCCGATCCCGAGGCCGCCAATCACTCTGCCGGCGAAGAGCATGGCGGGGTTTTGAGCGCCAACTTGAAAGCCGGTGCCGAGAGTGAAGACCAGGACGGCGACCATCATGCTGTACTTCCGAGAGATCCTGTCCGACAAGTATCCGTTGAACAAGGCCCCGGCCCAGGCGCCCAGTTCCAGGGCAGAGACGAGCCAACCTTGAATGGTCGAACCCGTCAAGGTAGGAAAGTGAGCCTGGAAGTTCTCCATGACCAAGATCGGGCCCATGACACCTTGGTCATAGCCGTACATCATGCATCCGAGGGAAGCAAACGCACAGGTCATGAAGACATAGGGATTCTTGATCATCCCCACGATGCCATGGGATTTGTTCGCATTGTTGCGGCCGACGATGGACTGGCTGACTTTGGCCTCGTTGACCCTCGGGCCCGCGAGGCTACCAAAGCGAGGCATGGTGGGTGAAGCGCCTTCAGTTGTAGAGGCTTGATTTGCAGGAAGCTTGAGAGTTGCTACTGGTGACTGATGACGAGGAGAAGAGAAGAAAAGGACGAGACACCGCGAGTCGTGACTTGTCTTTTGTCCAAGAACATGTGTGGAAGTATTGAAATTCCATCAAGGAGGTTGGGGATCTTTATCGTCCTCCAAAGCGAATAGCTGAGTGAACATCATGGCGAAAAGGCACACCATGCAGGTAGCATCTACTGCAAAGAGCAACCACAATCCAAGAGAGGTCGTAGAAACCCCACACTTGCAGACGAGCATTTCGCCTGATCACACCCTGAGTCGCAACCACACCGAACTGGGACAATCTGGGGACTCCGCGTGAGTCTTTCTGGTGCGGCTCTGGTCATTGCCATAGGAGCAAGCGTGCCGGATTGCCATAGCCCGGGAATCCGCGAGATCAATCACGGCCTCCTGGACGAAAGAGGCTGTATTTGGGAGGAGACAACGATTGAAGGCTCATGATTGGCGACTTCATGACTTGATCAACAAGGAACGGCCGTGCGAAGTAGCATTCACGCGACAACGCGCGGCCCTGAACCCTAGCCTCGTCCAAAATCCTGCACAAAAATCGGCTATACGGCAAAGTTGGATATGGCGATGGGTCGTGATGGCCAATCATCACCTGGCAAGCCCCTTGGACCAAAGAACAACTTACTCAGGACATGGGTGAGAGGTCCACTGAGATCCTCCAAGAAGCAAAGCTGGAGAAGAGCAGTACATACCTTCAATTGAATGGATGGTGGGAGCTGGTGTGGAGGGCCTTTGCAGTTGTGTGCATCATCCTAGGTACCAGCCCCGGACTTCGGTAGCAGGGGCCCGAAAGGATTCATTAATAATTATGCAGACATAGGCACTGTCTGCAGAGGATTCTCCACGCCGTTGTCTCTGCCCATGTGTCTTACTCGAACGTTGACGTGCCATTTAGGTTGCTACCAAGCCGTGGTTACAACAAGAAGGCGATCCTCTCCCCCTCGGACCAAGCAATGTGCCCGCTAGGCTCTAAATACGAGCCCAAGAGGCCTTAGCTTCGACGAGATACGCCCAGAGGAGATCTCGGAGGGTCTTCCGGCAATGGCACGCGCGGTATGATCGGAACAGAGGAGCATGTGGCCGCACATTCAGGCTCACAATACCTGGGTAGCAGCAGCACATCCTGTCGCTGGAGCACTGCCACCTTCAGACCCATTCAGCCCCTTTATTCCGGGCCATTGTTGGCATGAAACCGAAGCAGAAACCAAGATCAAACAATTTAGGCGGGCTCCCAGCAAGCATTATTGCCCGTGCTGGCCCTTTTGTTCCTCTCCCAGGAGGTTGTTCTTGACTACATGGTTGTGGTAAGACCTCCCCTTATCTATTATCAGCGAAATCAGCGAACTCTATCGTGGACTGTTAGCGCCTCTTACACAGCACCTACAACTACCCGGCGAGCCGAGACCATCAGAGGTTGGCCTGCACCCCAGTTTCCCACTCGTTCGGGGCCGAGACCGCATGGAACTTCCTGCTTGGCTTTACCAGCTCCGGATCATTCCGTTCCCAATCCGTCGTACCATAGATTTCTGCCCTGGCGTCGCTCAATTTTTTATCCAGGCCATCAACATCCAGTGCTCCACACGCGCAAGTGCAGTCCAGTGGCATGTCGTTGCTTGAAGGTTGACAGGCATTTACAAAGGGTTTGTGTCCAGAATAGGCCCGTGGCTACCCGGCGGACGACATCGACTCGAGGCTGGAGTAAGCAGCCAATCGGAGATGGAGGGTTACAAGGAGATCACTTCAGCGATCGAGGGACGTCTCTTTCTCTCGACGCAAAAGGTGCACGCGGCGCAGGAGGGCAACGAGGCTTACTTCCAGTCTCGCCCTGTATCCTTACCCACGGCGGATTCCTGGTTGTCACCATTTGCCAACCCGATCAGCTTCTCGGCAAAGACCAAATCCAACGATACAAAGACCGAGGGAAAGGTGGGTGGTGGTGGCGGTGCCAGAGAGAGCTCGCGTCGTGTCCACCTGAAGAGCTCAGGCAAATCTCTGCCCAAGAATCACGAGCAGAACGTGGAACACATTGAGTCCGCCCGAAACGATGCTTTCAGCGTGGCCTTCGACCTCGCCGAGCCGGTGTTGTACTTGCAAGGATTTGATTTTCCACACAACCTGGAGCATACATCCGCGGTGCTGAGAGGGGTGGTGCGGTTGAAGGTCGTGCGGGAGACGACACTTGGTAGGCTGTCGCTCGTTTTCCAAGGAGTCAGCCAGACCATCTGGCCCGAGTCGTGGAGAGTGAGACATCTGAAAAAGGTGTATGACGAGAGCATTGTCAAGCACGCGTGGGACTTCCTCGACAAAGATAATAACTCCCAGCACCCCGGGCGGACATTCAATCCCGGAGTGTATAGCTACAATTTCGAACTGCCGCTGGCATCTTCGTTTCCGGAAACCATTGAGCTGCCTATGGGCAAGGTGTTCTACAACTTGACGGTTACCGCCGCAGAGTCGGGCCGCTCTTCGAACTCTGCCACCTTCAAGCAACCGGTGCTGCTGGTGCGCATTCCGTGTGTGTGTTCGCTCGAAATGACCGAGCCTTACGAAGTCCACGGCATCTTACAGGGACTGGGGTACAGTTTCTCCCTTGCGGCCAAATCCTGTCCCGTCGGCGGGCAGCTCCCCTTCAAAATGAAGATCTCGACCCAGACAGACCGCTTCTGGCAGCAGATCACCGTGTCCATGGTCGAGGAGGTGCAATATCAGACACGCGATGCTCTGGCGCATCGAGAACAGTCGCGGTCGAAGGCAGTCCTCCACACCAAGCGAGTCAAACGGGATCCCCTCCACCAGCGAGCCTTCCGGCGCATCAGTGCCGTCGGTGAGAACATGGCGGTGTCCTACGCGAGCGGCACGGTTATCGAGAAAGAGGTGCGGCGGAGCAGTCGGTCCATGTCCGTGCACGAAGAGAGTGAAAGCAATTATCTCAACGAGACCGCCGTCCTCCAAATGCCGTCATGCTCGCGCATTCAAGCGGACACGGCCTACAGGTGTCTGTATGTCCGACATTACCTGCTGGTAAGTGGATCCGGTCGTGGCTTTGTGCCTTTTCCCGTCCCGACTGACACTGATACTTCCCAGATAACCATCTCCGCCTTTGTCGAGGTGACCGAGAGCAGCCGGAAACACTTCGAGATCCGGGTGCGGATGCCCATCCAGCTCCTGACTTGCAGATGGCTGGATGGAAGCGCCACGCTGCCCAAGTATTCGGAAGATCCCGAGCAGCTTTCGCTCGAAGGACCTCTGAATCTGTGTCGATGCACCAGCGGGTCCTCCCAAAGGCGGAGTAGTCCCGGCGACAGGACGATTGTCCATAGAGAAGAATAGCCACACGGAGCGACGGACAAGTTTCACATCACCGTCAAATTGTATGAATATATGCTTGGTCTTCGACTTACACTCGGGAAGCACAGGTCCAACTGTCTGTCTTTGTATATCATGGAGTCTCATTGGTGAAGGGCTGACCACGGCATCGTTGCGCTTGCCGCTCTGCATGCGCAAGTGCCTCCTTCTTCACCCGGCGGGAAGAATCTGAGCGGGCAACTCCCAAAGACGACTATATCAACGAGCACCAACAAACCTTGCAGATGCCAGTGAACATGCAACGCGCGGCCGCACAGCTTGCGCAGGCATCCAAATGTGGCCGCACGCTGGCTTTCCAAAGTGCGATCTCCTGGGTATCGGATTCGAGTTGCGATAGAAGATGCTTGGAGGTGCGGGTTCGCCACGAGGCGTCGGAGACAAGGTCTGGGAAGTCTTTTAAATCCCCACCGAGATCCTCCAGCAAGGCCAGTACGTGAATTATGTCCAACCAGGGGACCAGGAAGATCGCGAAGAGCGTCGACGGATCGCACTGCTCTGGACCTTGCATCCGTCCTCTAGCCCTTCTCCACCGCCCGGTTCTGATGGCAGGCGAGCGAGAACTTCTTGTCGAATCCTGCAGTCCGCACCGATGCCCAACTTCGTCGGAGATCGAAGAATAAGTCTATAGATGGGATCTACTATATGTTGGTGCTTAGAGCAGTGCGAGCAACATTATAGGCCCAGAAAGACTACACGGGCGTAAAATCTCAGACCCCAAGTCGCACGCATGAACCTTAAATCTATCCATGATGACCGAGGTCTACCAGGATAGCACCCCATCCCCTGACCCTTCATGTCCCGTCGCCTTTAACATGAGCTCCTGGGTCACTGGCAGGATATGTTAGTCAGTCCTGACGATTATTCAGGGCGATCGGCAGTGGTCCCTGTACGTACAGCTCTCAGCAATGTTAAAGCGACAACTATGATTCTCGCCGCCCACCGACGAGGGCCAGACCTTTCCACCCTTGGATCGCTCGAGGCGGCGATGAGATTTGATTTTCTCAAGAAAGACCGAGTCGTGCAGCGTTGGTCGACTACAACATCACCATTGATATTAAGATGTGTTAGCTACTAGCAGCAACCATGTTCCGGCACGCCATCATCTGTGGCCACCTACCTGCTTTCGCACGCTTGAGCTACAGCATACCGGTCTTCGAGAGAGGAGACACAGCGAACGATATCGGACTGGATGGTGCTGAGTAGCGCCGATGTGGCGGAAGATAGCCCTGCCGATGTGTACAACGTGCAATGCACCACGCATTTTGCCGCCGTTTTGGGCTGAACCGTGATCAGCAAGGAAGAACCGAGATGCCGTAGAGCGAAGACGTCCGACAAGACCGAGGGCTTCGTATGCGTGATATTTCGATTACCTCGTTTCCCGGAGACTGTCGGCAGAGAAAATGCATCCTCCGCTTCTGGTCAAATAGTAAGCAAAGATTCGATACCGGCGGGGCCCATATGCGAGCGTCTCTCCTACCGGCCATTTTCCAATTGAATGTCCCCTCCACCTCCCAGCTTTCCAGGTGCCCTCTGCTGAAGACCTTGTCGTCGACGTACGCATCAGACTCGGGCGGGAGGCTCAGATTGATGCGGACCACGCCGTCGGCGTCAATAGCGGTATTCACTTCGAGGAGTGAGTTCGCTTCCTTTCGAAATCCCTTCACGTTCTCAAACTTGGGAGCCTTGACCAGGTGGCCCTGGAGGTCGTACGTCCAGCCATGGTATCTGCACGCCAGAACCGGGGTGCAGCCCGCCCGCTTCGTCGAAACGACAGGATAGGCACGGTGTCTGCAGACGTTGTGGAAACAGCGCAGGACTCGGTCCTTGCCGCGGACCAGGAACAGAGGGAATCCCGCTGGGTGTTCGACGATCCGGTACGACCCCGAACTGGGAAACATGCTTGCATGAGAGACGGCAATGGACATCTAGGCGAGAATTAGTTAAGACCGAGAAGTTCACCAGTGGTCGCCCGGTGACCCTCTCTTCGCCGTGGCAGGCAGTCTGGTCGTACCCCAGCAAAGATCGCTCGCCTTTCATCCTCCAGGAGCCCGTCCGACCGCCACCAACCATCCGGGAGATCTGACACTTTGGCGACCTCGCCGGCCGCCGTTGCGTCGCCGATGTCGCACAGTCTGCCGCGGGGAAACGGGCTCTCGACCGGTCCAGGCCGCGGTGAGGACCATAATGTGAAGACGACTGTGACCGCGACGGCCGTGCAGGTGACGAGAGCGACCGAAGCGGTTGAGCAAAGAATATCAATGGCCGTTGCCTGCATTTTTTTTTTTCCCTGCGATTATACCTCTGGTTCGCCGGTGAACCTGAAACAGTGAAACTTGCTACTGCGCACGACGAACAAAAGAAAGAAAAAGGCGTCGGCGACTATAAAGCAAGGGCCACGATACAGAGTCAATGAGATCGAAGGAAAGGTGGGCACAGTCGTGCATATCACGACTCCCGCACTCGAAGCCGCTCATCAGGCCGTGGCTCCAGGTCCACGGATGTGGGTGTCGCGCTGTACGGCTCTCATTGAGATGCGAATCTGCATCCTTCCCTTCGGTCCCAGGACACCCCCCGCAACATCCTGCGAGTGACTGGATCAGAGGAGAGACGGCGGACGCAACAGATGGGACCTGTTGACCTTAGCAGGAAGCCATGTCCGGGAACAAAAGTCAACGACGGCGAGATCGATAGGGGCCCGTGCGGGCCTGGGCTCTGCATGCATGGGCCGTTGCCAGAAATAGAGAATAAATAGAGTTGAAAGCCACTCGTGGGGGGGCGTGAACTTGCCTACCTCTTGCGGCGATCTCGGTTCGGTTGTGGCCAGGATCGTGGACCATTCATTATCTGTTCGGTGGAGACGGTGCAGCAAAAAGAGGGGGACGTTCATTCTTCCCATTATTACAACGGGACGGGAATCACCGTGTTGATATCATGGCCCTTATCTTGGTCACGGTCTGGCATTACAAGACAAGAGTGTGCGGATCAGCTAGCCATCTTGTTGACCTTTGGTGGTTTTATCACGATTCCTGTATTCCTTGCGACTATCATGATCGGTACAATCCACCGACAGTCTCAAAACTCCCTGTTCGATTGTGAGTCGCTTCAATGTGCCGAGAGTGTAACCTTCTTCTCTTCCGCGTGCTGAGCCATGACCATCTCGAATACCCGCTGCTGATAGTCTTGACACATGTCAGCTTCAATACACCCGCATTCCATCCCCTGCCATCTTGGGGGATAATGAACTTACGAGCAACGCCGTTCTCCTTCTCGGGGTTCAGGCATCCTTCAGTGTAGATGCCCCTCTCGAGATTCGCCTGGGCTCGCTCGCACAGGTCGAAGTCCTCGTTGGCCACCTGGCGGACGAACTTGTAGTACACTTCAAACGGCTCCCCGGACGCCTGGTGGTAGTAGTCGAACTCCATCCGAGACACGCCGGGTTTGGGCGTCGGACAGGCCCGAAACGAGGAGATGCCCCCGTTGTAGAGGTTCAACGTGGTGTTGGGGAAGAAGTACAAGAAGAGCCCGTCCTGCGACTCGTCCCGCGTCGCAAAGTGCCGGGACCAGTTGTGGTGGTTGATGACGCGGTAGAAGGTGGGCGGGTAGAGCCTCGACAGGCCCGGGTGCGTGAACTGGCAATGGAGACACTCCTGGAAGCCGTCCATCATGGTCTTCCAGTTGAAGTTCCCGTCGTAGGCGAGGCTGCGCCGGTAGGGGATCTGCGTGAAGTCGTACGCCTCAACCAGCTTCTCGAGCCCCGGGTAAAACTCTTCGAACGGCGGTGCATGGGACGAGATGGTTGAAAACACGAGGCCCGAGCGGGTTTGGTGGCTGTGTAGTTGTTCGCCCTGGATAGTTATCTATACTCAGGAACCGTTTTTAATCATCCATGGCTTCAGCAGGCACGTACAGAGGTCTCAGCGTATGTGTTGACTTCCTTCTGGTCCCCCGCGAGGGTGGTTCTTGCAATCAACGCGATTTGGGCAATCTCGAAGCGGAGGTCGTTGCCGCTCTCAAACTTGGACAGGGTTCCCAGAAAGTACCATGACCGTAGGAACACGGCACGGCGTTCGAGCATATGGATCGGCTTGCTGCAATACCAACTTGCCGGCAGGGTGGTCGGAACATCCATTTTGCTCGACCCTTAACGGCTTGAGAACAAGCTGCGGAGGCTGATATCAAATTGAGTGTGGGAAAGGGAAGAAGAAGACGGGAATCTTGGAAGGGTTAGAGATTCATGTAGTTCCTCTCCAAACTCAGAATGCTACCGAAAGAGTCGGCTTATGAGCGAGGGGTCTTTCAACTTCGGGATCGAGACTCTCCCACTGGCTACCACCCTCCATTTTCCAGCGTCACATGTCACGCTCAGGTTCTTCGGACACAATCATTGTATTCCCGCCAAACCTACTGCTAGATACGATGGGGAAAAGGGTCGAATCTACCATCTATGGACAGCTTAATGGCGGGACTAGTTCGACTTATGCTCGGAATCCTTCGTCCATCAATACGTGTAGTCGCTTTGAAGTTTGAGCGATTGGTGATCGAGATCAAGGTTGGCGGATGAAGGATGTACGACCTTTGATCGATGCGAAAGGGTCAACATGATATTGATTAGTACCGCGAATATATAGCAGGATGTATAGAGCGGGGATCGCCCAGAATAAGGCTGAACGTCAGATAGCTGCCTCCTCCAAAGACGCCGCGATGCTGGGACCAGACCGAGCGTACTCCAGATGTCAAAGGAAATACGCATTTGCCGTTCACGGAGCTCTACCTCGACAGGTTTCCCCTCGAATCTGAAGAGGGAATCTCGTCTTGCCAGTGCAACGCTCTTGATATTCTCAGCCATTGCTGTTTGACGTGGGAATATCGAACAAGACGTCGAGATTTGGATCGTTTTGTATGCCAACAGAAAAAGGAAGCCGGTCGGAGTCACTCGCTCTGGGTGCGACTTGGCGGCTAGATGCTTGCTCGAAAGAGAAAAATAATCCCAAATATGCATGCGTCCCAGGGCCAGCGGTTCTCTCAACAGTTACTTGTCTCGCAACTCTATCTTCGACGTCGAATGGCAAGCAGGGGTATTCGTAGCCACGCGATAGGACGATATCCTCCCCCAACGATGACAACTCTATTTATGTTCCTAATACATCCTAGGCTGGCACCACTCCTGTCCAACCGAGGAGCATTATTAACAACCCCTCGCCCCTCTCCGAGATCAGACGGCAACGACTGGATTTCCTTCGGCCTCCCAGCCCTTGGCAAGGAGGATCCAATTCTTGTGCGGTGTCTGCCAAAGGTCCTGCAGGAAAAGCTGGATTCTCGAATAATGGCCAAATCCCGTATGCATTGACATTGCACCACAGATCTCCGAGATCGTGGCTTTCTGTTCGGGGGTGGTCCAGTCGCAGATTCCTGCAATGAACACCGGCCATGCCAGATTGTGAAGGACGGCTTTGACGTTGTGGAATTGCTTCAACGATCTGAAGAGTTTGTCGAGGTGGAATTGGGCGCGGAAACCCATCCCCAGCCGGAGACGTTGGCATGCATAGAGAACTCCAGCGTGGTGAAAGACGTGGATGAGCCGGGTGAAGTCTTCTTTGGCGGATTGGCTGCGCTGCGAGATCATCTGTCCGGCAACCATGAGGCTCGGCCCTTGGGCCAGCTCCAGCTCGCTCTCCAGCTCATCAAGATAAGCGTCGTCATCGCGGAGAGCATCGACTGCGACGATGTCGAGCGACCGGCGGGTAATTCGATGCACAATGGTCAAAAATCGGCCTAGGATAACATCGCCGTTCGCAAATTCCGGCAGAATGACCGTGTGAATATGCTCAGCGTCGAACATGGTCGTACACATCAGGATATCACACAACGCCAGCTGATTTTTGAGAAAGGCAAATAGCTCGTCGCTGGGCGACCTCTGCGAGGACAGTCTCTCCAGCATGACTCGAGCGGCCTGTCTGTGAAATCGGGCCAGAGGCAACTCCGATCCCAAGAGCGATTGATTGGCGAGGATCAGCATCGCGGCCAAGGTGCACTCGAGGGATCGGTTTTCTCCCCCCGCTGACCCGTTGCCCCCAACTTCTAGACTGTTATTTATCTGCCGCACGTGTGCCGCAATCATCGCCATCGTAGCATCGCCAGTTGCCGAGGAGAATTTCAACCCGTATTGGGGTTCTTGGGGCATGTGAGCGGCAGATATAGCACAGATCGCCAGCCGCAAGATGAGGTGCTGTTCTGCCATGGGCAATATGAGACGACGATATCCGTTGGCATCGGAATCCAACCACACCATCATCGGGGCGATGTGCGATGCATAGTATTCGAAGAACCGGTCGATCACAGGCCTGTCAAGCGAGAAGGTTGGGATTTGAGGTTCAGGCTCGATCGCTACATTTGGTGTAGGCCGGTCACCGTGTGGATTTTCAGACAGTTTGGGTTTGTCGGTGAGGGACCTGGCATTGAAGGCCTCAGCGGGAGAAAGGTGCTTCAGCGGCCCACGCACAGCGACGGCGCTCGTCCACCGCAGCTGCCGCTGATAGCCAGGGCAACCCAGGCCTTTGCTTGAGCATTTTCTGCACGTCGGGAGAGTGCGGTCGCACAGAATGCGTCTTCTAGCACAGGTGCGACAGCCTGGACGAAGGGTCAATATACTGAAATAAATTCCAGGCTTTCGTATTCGAAGGGACGCTAACCTTTCCCCGCAGTCTGCTCGCACGTATTCCGATCCCTCACGCTGGTCTTGGGAGTCTCAGGAGAGATCGGATGGTCAATCATGCTAAAGCCTATCTAGGGTCCCATAGTCATGCGAGATCTCGCGCAATGTGACGGCCGAGCGAGCGCAATGTGGAGGACGGTGCAGCCAACTGATTTAGTGATCGGACGGTGGGAACCATTTCCGCCGTTCTTTTCAAGACATTCTTAGGGTTTGGACCCATCAGTCACTGGAACTGCCATTAGTTCGAGAAAAATGTAAGATAAAGAAAGGCACCGGAATCGCATCGAGATAAGGAGAAGCTTGGCCCCGTACGTAGGAACATTACGCACCCAAGTGACGACAACGGCACTGGGCGGGCGCCTTTCCGGGACGCTTCTACTAAGCTACATTCTGGTCAAGCCTTCGCCACAAACGACAGGCCGCCAAAGCTTGCAAGCCGTTTCCCAGAGGGGAAGGAGAAGGAGACGGACGATATTATGGACCCGGCTACAAATACACTAGCTTCTCTCCCATGACTGCGACAAGCCTGCAAATTCTTCTATTCGACAATTCTACAACAGTCCGCAGTCAGGCTACTTTGGCAACTCCATATCGGGCTTCAAGGATGCCGCAAGACGCGCTGCCCGCCCAGCACAAAGCAGTCGTTTTCGACAAGCCCGGGACAATATCTGCCAAAGTCACCACAATAGACACTCCGCGACCGGGATATGGCGAAGTGCTGGTCAAACTCACCCATTCGGGCGTCTGCCATTCCGACATGGCCGTCATGCTCAATGCGTGGGCCATTCTCCCGGAGCCCACCCCCCCAGGCCAGATCGGGGGACACGAGGGTGTCGGCGTGATTGTCGCCCTCGGGCCGGAAACACAGAACTCGGGGTTGCAGATCGGCGACAGGGCCGGGATCAAGTACATGGCCGACATCTGTGGGAGTTGTCGCCAGTGCTTGCTGGGGAGAGATGCCTTTTGTCCCAAGGGAAAGATATCGGGATATCTCACCCCCGGGACCTTTCAGCAATATGTGTTGGCCCCGGCTCACTACGTGACTCCCATACCGGACGGCCTGGACAGCGCGTTAGCAGCGCCTCTACTCTGCGGAGGAGTGACCGTGTTTGCAGGGTTGGCCAAGTGCGGTGCAAAGCCTGTAGGTCTTCCCAGGCTAACGACGAGGCGGTCTAACATGCCTAGGGGGATTTCGTAGTCATCTCTGGTGCGGGCGGCGGTCTCGGCCACCTGGCCATTCAAATTGGTCGCGGAATGGGGTTCAGAATCATTGTCAGTCAACCAATTTCAGAGCATTGTCCCCTTCTCTCGTGATTCTGGGGTCTTTTGCCGAAATTGATACTGACTTCCTCCTCCAGGGAGTCGACGCAAGTCCGAAGCGGGAACTCGCCATGGAAAGTGGCGCGGAAGCATTTTTTGACCATTTAAGCTACACAGGCCCCGAAGGTTCTGAACGGCTTGCGCAGGATATCAAGGCAGCCACAGGCCATCGCGACGGTGCCGCTGCGGTCATCGTTTGCACCGCGTCCAACGCCGCCTACGCACAATCCCTTTCGTTTCTGCAGATCGGAGGAACGGTCGTCTGCCTGGGTATTCCCGAAGGCCCGCGAAAGGCAATAACGACTGCGGATCCTGGGACCTTTATCGAAAGGGACTTGCGGATCATTGCTTCGTCGGTGGGGACGAGAAAGGACGCAATCGATGTCCTTGACATGGCGGCGCGGGGGATCGTAAAGTCGCATGTGGAAATTCGGCCGATGGATCAGCTTGAACAGACGTTCCGAGAGATGGACGATTGCAGTCTGCAAGGACGAGTGGTGCTAAAATTAGACCAGTAATGGCGACGGGTACAGGAGGTCTACGAATAGCGCTGGAAAACCTACCTGTTTGCAATGCTAGAATTCCCGCGGCAAAGATCACATCCTCTTCGGTAGCCTCCCCTGCTACCACTGCTTTCAATCAAGGACCGATATTTAACTCGCTAACCGTGCATTCACGAATTCTTTTAGGGCAATAAGGCTGCAGTTTACCATACATCTTGCTATGGTGGTCCGGCACCCAACGCGTCCATGTCCAAAATGAATGGTACAGTCTGGCGAGAGGAGGGCTCTCTGGTAGTCATTCTGACTTATTCGCTCCAAGGTAGGTCATCTGCAAAGATGGGTACTCTATTCAAGAGAGTTGGAGGGCAATTGGGGTGTGCACGGACGGAGAAGGATATAGCTGTCCAATGCACTACAGAGAGTATGAAACGAAGCAGCGACACTCCGCACAGGCGAAGCCAATTCGCTATAAAGGCTACGAGATCATATAAATCCCCGAAGAGACGATGATGATGATACAATAGTCATGAATTGGATTCCGCTGAGCTTCAAGCAAACCCTAATAATCATAAAACACCAGCGTCCTCACCTCGATACTCTCTCTGGGCGGGCCGTTCTCGTACGCGGGATCCACAAACGCCGTGTGCGGAATTCGCCTGGCGCGCCCGTCGGTGACAGAGTCGTAGCACTTGATGAGAAGTGGCTCATCGGGCCGCTGCGCATACTTGAAGTACCACTGGTGATTCGGGTTCGGCTTCACCGCGTAGGTCTCGCCCTCGCGATCCGGGTAAATCAGCTTGGCGGGGACGAGGTCACTGTCGGGTACAGAATTGGCGTCGGCGAGGGTCAAAGGGTCTCTGAGAATCGTCTTAATCGGGCGCCAGACCTGCGGTGCAGAAAGGAGTGGGTCGGTCAGTCGTGATGGTTGTTTTCAAGGGAAGGGATCTGGACACCAGGAGGAACTTACGTTGATGATCTGGAAGCGCTTTTTGAGGAGCTCGTCGGCTTCGTCAGGGAGGTGGTACTTGACACGGTTCTCCGAGGCGCCGTAGGACTGATCGATATGAACCCGACGTGCAGGGCCGCGAAGCTGGCCGGCGATGTCGCGGACGTCGGACGTTGCGCGGCGGATTGTGTGGTCGAAGATGAGAACGCGAGAGGCTCCAGTGCTGTTGACAACACAGGTACATGTTTAGTGTCTGGTTTCACACTCTTTTGAAATGGGCGAACGAAAATGGAGTTCAGTACGTATTCTTCAGAAGCTGTTCAACTTCCGGGTAGTATTCGGCCTTGATCTTCTCGTCGTCGACGAAGTCCTTCTCCTTGCTCTCATGCTTCACATACTGAAAGCCATGGCTGTCAATGGTATATTTGTCTTCATCCCCGGAAACATCATGGATGAGAACATTCTGGGCTACATGAGGTCGGAGGTAGGAGTTGGGCTTTCTGTTGCTCTGGTCTTTAGAATCAAATTGCCTTGGGCATTCCATCGACCTAGAAAACTCACCCGACGTAAGAAGGAGCAGGGGGAGTCCCGTCCCCGGGGTCCTTGTAATAGTACACCTCCGCAGCGACATCGTGCTTTGCAGGCTTGTTCTTTGTGGTAAGAGGCTCGATGACCTGCCCGAGAGCAGTCCCCGGCGCGTGTTGGACCGCAGCTGTAGCCATACTTATTGACGTATTCAAATGCACACTTCGGTTCTCCAGTGAGTGTCCTCAGGAAAAATATTTGGGACTCTAAGCATTTAACAAAGCTTCAAGGTGCAAGACGCGATATATCCCTTCACGTCCCTCGGCAAAGGCATCCGCAGCTCAACACCTCAATTTGTAATCTGGTCATTTCGCGAGCACGCAATGCATGCAAGAAGCACGTCAATACCTACCATATCGTCTTGGATAACGCTGAGCTACCGATTGACGCGTACATGATGTTGGCCGTGTCTGGGTGGTAACCTGCTAGCGTCATACTATGGACTTGACTTTCTTCGGCAAGTATAGGGGTATTAGACTGCCCAGAGTGCCTAAACCACCAAGGTATTGCGGAGACTGATAACTTATCCACACAGCTAACCTAATTCTTATCCAGAAAAGAAAAGAGCGAGTTAGACGCACTGGAGTTTGTTCTGGGATTTGTATTCGTGTTTGCCACTCGTTGGTCTGGTAATCTGAATGCTTGATTGGGCGTTGGGATTTTGTGAAGCTGTACTATTGCCTAAGCCTGTCCCGCACCTCATCTGACTCACGGGGGAGACTGCCTCTGTTCTCCATGTCAACCACAAGCATACAAGTGTCTTGAAGCAGGATTGAGCCGTGGCAGTATGTCTTTCCTCCATGTTGTTATCGAGCGTCATCCTACCCAAATCATCAGAGAGCCATGGCCTAGAAATGCTCGTTGAATGGCCTCAAATCAATCTCCTGTGTCCAGGCCGACTTGTGTTGCGTATGCAGACTCCAGTAACTTTCAGCAATCTTGCAGTAGGTCAGCATCTCATCCTAAGAGCAGCTGTTCAGGGCGACTTACAGCATAAGGGCTTAGTTTGCCATCTGGAGTTGCATCATTGCGAGCAGCATGCTCCGCGTCAGGCACGTCAATGCCACCGTCGATGATGGCGTGCGCGACGTGCACTCCCGCCGGACCGAACTCCCTGGCAAGGGACTGTGTCAAGATCCGGCCACCGGATTTCCCGGCCGCGATGACAGACCATAGTTTGGAGCCTCGGATCGATGCAGTCGCTCCGGTGACGATGAACGTTGGTGGTAACGGAGAACTATCCACAGACTGGAGAAGTAGCGGCAACACGCTTTGCGCAAAGTTGAAGAGACCACGGCTAGAATGTGACGTGTCATTAGATGCCAAAATGTCTCCGAAGAAAAGGTGCGTTAAGGGGGACATACATATTGCCGTTGAGGCTGGCGTCCAGATCCCCCAGGTTTAGTTCTAGGAAGGGTTTGCGGCTTCCCCGTACATTGGGTCGGACGTTGTAGATCGCCGCCACAAGCTGCAAATCCGCAAACTCCTTCTTGACGGACTCGAGTGCGGAATTGAGAGATGACTGGTCTGTTGCATCGGTGGAGATACCAATCGCCTTCCCGCCAGCGTTGTTGATCTGGGCAACCACGTCCTTGTAGCTCTCCGGTTGACGGGATAGCAAGACGACTGGATACGACTCCGCAAAGCGGAGAGCGACTGATCGACCAGTTCCGGGCCCGATGCCAGCTACAATGGCGAAGAATTTGTTGGAAACCATTTTGTTGCGGTGAATTTGTTTTTGAATATCCTTTATTCTGTCCGAGCAAAGATGCAGGAAAAGAGCAGAAAATAAGCGTTGATAGAGCAATTGGTTAAAGATGCTGGACGAAAGTGTCAGAGTGAAGCAAGTACATTGTTTCGAAGGGTCGAATTACTAATACAAGATGATGGCTTGTTCCTGTCCAGAAATTGCGTGACGAGCGATGGGTAATAGGTATTATGTGGAGGCGGAGAGTCACATGCTTTACTGGATGATCGCTGTTCCATCGCGAGGAGGATTAGTGAGCAAATCTGTTCGGAATGAGAGGATGTGCGATTGTTGGTCCAAATGGGCGCCGATTTGGAATCAAAGAACCACCTGATTAAAATCTATGGTACAGACGGTTGACAAAGGAAAGGAGAAAACGGTACAGTGCGCACCCTCTGTGAGCATCCCATGGGCATAGTTTGTTTTGGCAAAATAGGTATTATATGGCATATCACGCCCCAGCAACGATGAATCGGAAGTCGGCTTGGTGGCTCTGCGCAGATAGGTGGCCCGTGGCGTCTTTGGCTAGCGAGAGGAGCCCTCGTCTCGCTCCGTAACATGATGCCAGGGACAGTCCAGCAGGTAGGAAGCTAAGCGAGCAATTTGTGGATTAGGTTCCTCCCCGTGCTGATCCCCCGCCGCGGGGTTGAAGGAATATCACTATGAAATAGACCGATTCAGACACGCCTCCGCGAATGAATCAAATACTCTGTCTTCTCTCTTTGCTTTGGGTCAAATAATGCACTTAAATTATCGTTCTCAAGCGTCAAGAGCAAATTTCCGTAACGACACTTACGGAACCAATAACATGTCTCATCTTACACTTGCAATCCCATATCGGTTGCTGTGTACTAGTATTCAATGAGCCCTAACTCTAATCCTGCATCAGACCGCGGTCACGGCACTCTCTAGGAGTCCAGATTAGGCTTGTCTATGGCACTACCGGGACAAAAGGTCTAGCCTCTTAAAGCGAAAGGTAAAAAGAAAGAGAGGGAACCGAATATGACTCCCAGTTTTCCCAATAGGCACATATATTGCTTATCTGATACCCTGGCTGTGAAAGCCGGAGCCACCACCACAGTTCGCAGATATAAAACGAATGATTGAGCTGAAGTGCACAGAACATAACACTCAAGGCAGACTAGTCAAGGGTTGTCGGCGAAGAAGGCGTCTAGCAGTTACCATCAATCGAATATGACGGAATGCCGGTCTCTGTCTCCTGGAGACACTGTCCAACGCTCAGAAGGGTGGCGCCATTGCTGCAGTTTTCGTCCGTATACACCGTGACTGTGACATTACCGTGTTAGCGTCCCTGCTGTGAGACATCTTTCTGTTTGAAATGGTACGAGACTCTTACCTTGACACCCCGCTGGCTGGCTGAGAAGAGCGATGGCCTTGGTACCGGGGATCGACCGAACGCAGTTGGCGCCGCCTGAGCCCGTAACCTGGCCGATAAAGCCATTATTGCACGAATTGGAGAAAAAGTTGGCTTGGAACCCAGCTAGGACGTGTGGCTTGGTGATATCCGTGACCAGGAACTGTTGACCTTCGATATCGTGGACACTCTCCGCGGCAGTCACTGTGCCGTATTTGTGAGTGGCTGGAATGCGGGCTGCACATGCGCTTGCAAAAGCCGCAGCGAAAAATAGGACGGATGATCTGACAAACATATTGATGGGGATATGCGAGACTGTGGCAGGCGAAACAAATAGCTTTCTAGATCAGATGGCGAGGATGAGAGCTTGATGAGAATGAGCGTAATGCAGAGGCAATTGGGCGACTGCTTTATACCCGGTGCATCAGTCAAAGCCTTGGGCGCCGGACTTCTTTCTTTCAGCTCAAAGTGCTCCTTTCAGCACTTGAGATATAAAAGCCTCGTGACGGATGGCCTTGAAAGATCATTAGCATGTCACATTATAGAAACTTCGAATACGGAGCTGACTCCCAGTCCTTCGTAGAGCCGTATTATCGTCTGGAGATTGGCCAGCAAGGAGTGCTTGCTGGCATGGAAACCGGGGAGCTATTGTCTGAACCTAGCCAGCCGTTACAAGAAAGCATCCGTCCTCTTACATTTCTCGTGATGCTGTCGTCAGCAAGGTAAGGGAACATGAAGATAGTGGATTGTTCAGCCGAGTTGGGGTCTCGACACTGAAACTCAGCCGCACACGGTCAGCAAGGCCACGGAGAGGTGAAGATATACGACCCTTCAGCTGACTTCATGTTTATACTTGACACAGTACCCCGACCTGCTCTGTCCTATCGTGTCTGACTTACATTCACCTAGAGGAGGGTTAGCGGCGGTACCCCAGTCGGCGAAAGCGGTGAGAAATGGAGGGCCGGAATCTTGGCATTGTGAGTCTATATCAACCATTCACGAGGTAATCAAATCTAATCAGGCACCACAGTCATCGACAACCATCTGTTTGCGAAGTGCGGCAAATGAGAAGACATGACCGATACAGCAGAGCTGAACATCATTTCGAATCGAACTCATCAATCATGAGTATAGCAACCAGACGATATCAGATTTCGCCTTGGGCCCTGCGTTTGTTGCCTTACGGATACACTGCCACATAGATGACACGAAAGACATTTTATGCCCGGAGACATGTCCCTGACCGTGGTTCAGAGGTTGAAGAGCTTACAGGGTGTATGATTGGCTTTGAAACCAGCTGCCCAACAAATCAGACCTTGTTGCGAGGCAGGAATGGAACTTTTGAAGGATGACTTGGTTTCATGGTACTGTTTTCCTACCGCTACTTAGATCGTTGACGGGTTTCGAAGTCGGCAGCATCAAGAATGCACACCGCATCACCCAATTGTGTTGAGCTATGCTATTTTGGAAAGCTTTGGCTCACAAGATCCATCATTGCATCTAGCGCCGGTGAAGAACTTTTGCTGGCATCCTCCTGAGGGCAATTCGAATGGTTCAACAACTCCGAAAAGGCTATTATAGACGAGCCGTTTAATACTATTAAAGATTACTATGAGCGCCTCGTTAGATATTCGCTATCTTAAGGCTTTAACGTTATTGAAGGCTCTAGTAGAATGAAGTAGTTTCCTAGTAGTAACTTCCTCTATACTGTACTTCTCCAGAAATGTCCCTGTACTGATGGACAGGTCAGAATAGAGGCTCGTAGACAAATAGTACATGGATAGTCCCCAATGACAGATGGAATTTCACACGTTACATGAGCGCACATCCCTGCGCCTGTCTGATTCTTGCCTTGATCAGCTTCAGCTGCTTCTTCTTCTTCTCATTCTCGTCCCTGAGATGCTCATTTTGGTCCTTTTCCGCCTGTAACTGGGCCACCATCTCATCGTGTCGTTGGGCCTCTTCTTGCAACTCCTTCGAGCGCTCCAGCTGGAGTTGATCACGATCGACTTTCATTAGCTCCCAGTCATCTTCCACGCTCTTGATTTTGTTCTTCCATTTCTCCACCTCCTCCTTGAGAATGCGGACTTCTGTTTCCCTCTTTTGGTGGGTCAATCTATTATCCCGCTTGACGTCTGCAATTTCCCTCTGAAGGTCATTGATCTCGAATTCATAGATCTCCTTTTTATTTTCCAACTTCTCTTCTAATGCGATGCCGGCCGCAGTCTTATCAAGCGTTATGCCCTCCTCCATCTCTTTCTGGATTGTTAAGTCGATGCCGTCCCGGGGCCGATTTTCCAAAAGGTGGCGCACGATTCTCAGCGCCGACCGCTCTTCACTGTCATGGATGAAGTCGGTTGCCCCGTGAAGGATCATAGGCTTCCAGAATACCTCGTCCTCAAGAAGCTCCTTGTGGCGAGCGTGCTGCTTTTCTCTGTCTGCCTCTCCACTTCCCCAGTGTGTTGTCGCAAGAGCAACCGAAGACATGGAATCATCACCGCACATTTTTTTGAACATGCGGAGGTTGTTCTTGACAGTTCCTGTTACACGCGTGTTATTGATCGCGTGTAAGTATACTATGCCTGTTAGCTTAATCCCACCCTGGCGTGCCTTGTTGAGCCAGTTCGCTATCTCGCGCAGGATGGCAGAGTCAGGTCGAGTGGTGTCGTCAAATCCAGGAGTGTCGACGAAGATAACTCGACGGCCGTCAATTTTGTTAGATGCCGGGTGCGCCTCTACCATGGCAGTCACTGCACGCCCATTTCGCTCTGTTAGCACTTCTAGAATCACGGCGTTGCCCACAACTGCTGGGAAAACTTGCCCGATTTTAGACCATCTCCCACTGTGGCTGTATCGCAGAAGTGTCGGATGAACGTGCTTTTCCCCGAACCAGTCATTCCCATAACGGCAATGAAAGCATCATTGTGGTGGACATCTGGTAGTCTTTAGAGCGGTGAGTAATTTGATCTCCATCGGGATGCGCATATCTCGTCCAAACATACTGGAAGAGGGAAGGTGCAGAGTCACGCATCTCCATACCAGGCTCACACGACTCGTACGGCGGCGGACTGTCTTTGTGGTCCGTTTCTTCTGGCACTGTAGAATGGGTAACAAGGATTCATGGATTTCGAGACGAAACGACTGCTGGTGGGATTGATGTGACGAGCCTCATTAATTCGAGAGGAGCAGCCTTCAGCATTAATATCTCTGGGTGTATCTAGAGTCGTCGACGTCCCATTTCCCCCTCCGCAGCCTACAAGGCAGCATCGGGAGCAGGCGGATTTGCTTGGCCGAGACGTGGGTTTCAGCCGCATTCCGAATATTGTCCAATGAAACCAAAGCAAGTCTTGCAGCACACCATTCCCTTGACATATCCGACGATGGCTTATCTCGCCAATTAAAAGGGACTCAAAAGCTGTGGGAGGGTGGAATGTGTCCCGCATTCGCTTCTCGTGATTTTTCGTGGGCAGCATGTTCCACCGGTCACAAAACCCCGGCCATTTATGACACGTAATCACCACACAGCCCACCGCCCTGCAGTCTTCCCAATAAGAACCCATCGTCGCATGTTGTGTAACGTCGTCTGCCTTCCTTTGAACCAATGACGCCATGCCTCGTGGCATGGCTGTCGTTGACATTCGCCGTGGTACCTACAGGGTTGGATGATTGACGGCCTCGGGCAAAACCGCCCCTTGAAGCGCCCGAGTGGTCATGCTGAAGTGGGAAGCGACGCCAGTTCTTCGTCTGTGAAAACGTCTTGCCAGCCGGGCGCTTGACTTGAGTGGACAGTATATTAACGATTTGTCCAATCAATATCTAAAAAGCCATCTTGGGGCTGGAGTGAGGCAAGCATGAACAAAAATGAGTAAAATGCATTGGTGGCAGCCATACGAAAAACAATTCCACAATATTTATCACGTGATTTCCGCCAAGCACATCCAGAATATTTTGGACACGCCAACGCATTCCACTCCTGTTCCTTTGATCGAAATACTGGTAAATAGTCACACATCAAGTCTACGATGAGACCGCATGGCCACCGACTATCCCCATCTAACGGCCGTAATGGTGCGTTTCAGCGGCGGTCTATTCACCTAGACGACGAGCAACAGTCCGACAGGCCGCCTCAGCTGAGACGAGCTATGACATTTGAAGACTCCCTACTCCCGAATTCGCAGCATCGACTGGCCTCTTCCTCTGCACCACCTTCTCGACGCGAAAGCATGACGGAAGCGATGAGAACCGCTATGGCTCCAATCAGAAGGGTAGATGGCGGACGCGGCTTGCCATCATTGTAGGCAGCGTTCCGCGCACCGGGCGTACATTTGGATACCAGTTCTAACATTATCTCCAAGGGCCAACAGTATGGTCATCGCTCTTATGGGCGTTACTGGGTCGGGAAAGAGCTCATTTATCTCCCTTCTCGCTGACCAGGATGTGGAGATTTCGCACAGCTTACATTCCAGTAATGCCCCTGCCTCAAGGGCGATCCAGAGCTAACATACCGGCAGACACCGTGAGCATCAAAGTATACAGTTTCAACGACCAGCGCGGCAGAACAGTGTACCTGGTTGATACGCCGGGGTTTGATGACACGACCCGCTCCGATGCCGAGGTTTTGAAGGACATCTCTTATCTCTTAGCCACCATGTTCGCCGCCGACATTCGGCTGGCCGGACTCATTTATCTACATCGAATATCTGATGCCAGGATGCCCGGCTCTGCGGTGAAGAATCTACGCATGTTCCAGGCTTTGTGCGGTGAGTCAAATTACAGGCATGTAGTCCTCGCAACAACAATGTGGGCGGAAACAGAAGGGAGCGATGCACGAAGCGTTCAGAATCAACGGCTGCAGGAGCTGCAAAAAACTTACTGGGCCGACATGATTCAGTCCGGGAGCAAGGTCATGAAACATAACGGCCACGAGTTGTCGGCTCTAGAAATCGTCCGCACCCTGACGGCTCGCGCGGAGTCGCCCATCACCCTTGCCATCCAGCACCAATTGGTTGATGAGGGTCAAACCCTGGATGAGACTGATGCTGGCAAAATTGTTTTCGAAGAAGTCATCGCAGCGAAGCGCAAGTTTGAGCTCGAACTTGACGAGCTGCAAGAGAGCTTGGAGGAGGCAGAGCAAGATGGTGATCAAGAAAGTATCGAGAACCTCAGGACCGAACGTGCGGCGATCGAGACCAAGGCCAGACGGCGCGCGAGAGACGGTGTTAGTCTCGGAGTCGACATCCGGCAGCTAGCCCGGGAGCAGCATCCACTGTATCACGACCTGATCTCCACCCTCCAGCAAGAAGATCATGACAGTGTTCAGACGGCTGGCTTTGTGTACGAGCCCGACTCTAGAGTGCGGGATCTGGAGCTGAGGCTCGAGAAGGAGCAGCAGAGGCGCAGGGAGAAGGAACAAGAAAACGTGGCGCTCAAAAGACAGCTCCAACAGCGTCATCGCGAACCCGCGGCGGAAACCAGCCGGAAAGGACCATCCAAGGCACCGCGCTTCGGCGTCGAACGGAAAATCAAGACCGAAGACAAGTCAGGCTGGAGGAGCATCATGCAGTTCTTGAAAATGGTCGGGTCGTACCCGCCATCCGAAAATGAGAGGTTCTACGTGACGCAAAGCAGTCGCTCGTCGTTGTCGACGCCCTGGTCCAAATTGAGCATGGGCGGTCAACCCAGGGGCCCGGTCAAATGAGGCCTCTGTTTTTTTCCTCATGGAGCCAAGGGAGTCAACTACCCGGGGAAATAGATGCTGCCGTCTTTCACGATACCAACGCCAACACGACCGACCAACCCAGAACGAAGGAACCACTGGACGCGGGGGACCGCAAGGGAATCCAAGAAAGAGTACTAGTTATTTATTATTATTATTATTATTATTATTTTGTTTTCGGTAGCTTGACGCTCAGTGCATTACAATTCCAACGATATATTTTCTCCTGCCCGTCCGCCTGCATACGGTGGTCCCAAGTAACGTACCGCACACCAGCTAGCAGCGTTGTTCGGACTATCGTCCTTTAACGCTAGTCCTTGAGGACCATAGTCCTAACGTAAGCAGTTCTTAGCCTTCTTAGTACGCACATAATATAGATCGCTATGGTAGGAGATAATTCTTCTAGTCAATTATATAATTATAGAAATATCAGACACTATACGGCCTAGTTGTTACGAGTCGCCTTACGACACGCGAGGTGTCCGAAGGTAAACCCGAAGTGGTTTACTTGGTGATATAGTAGTGGGGCCAATGTAGCTGAGACTGGAAACCAAGAGTATAGTATGTAGACCTATACGTAATAATAGATAATCGAGAGGAACTCGATTTCGGGGTGAACTAAATTGACTACAAAGGGAACCGTGGTTTTTCTTTATCCTATATAGTTGTTGGGTGCTCAGTGTGCTCAGTCCTACTCAGTACTGATCACGCTGAGCTGCACTAAGTAACGCTGACCAGAACTGAGCATTACTTGGTCGTGCTCGGTGGTGCTCAGTCACGTGTGCCCTAAGTACACTGATCATAGCTGAGTGCCTCTTGCCACGTGTCCCGGTTCTTCTGTCTTGGCCCTTGTGGCTGGCTCGGCCTAGTTGCTCCTGCTCCTTTCTGCTCCTGGCCCTCTTCCTGGCTGCAGGTCCTGTTCGTACAAGGCATTCCTAATCAGCCTGTGCGTGACAAAAGAGGAAAGTGATTCCGACGAACCCCTCTAAATGCGGATGATGCTAGATTATCGTGGCAACTTTTTCCCAGTGGTCGCTCAGACAACATAGGTATCCCAATGAACGCATGAATCATCACTGAACAAAGACTCAGCTCGAGCACAGCCAAGAACAGTGGTTGTCGCTCGCAGTTCGTGGGTTGATGAGCATCCACCAAAACCAGGGCCGGCCTCCATAAGTGCGGGGTCGTCACAGCATGAAAGGAGGTAGCAACAAGAAGGGCACCCGCAGTCACACGTTCGGCGGGTGTAAAACTTGTCGCAGACGTCACGTAAAGTGTGACAAGGTTCGACCTACCTGTCTCACTTGCAGAGCGGTTGGCGCAGTTTGTGGAGGCTTCAGCCAGGAACTGAAATGGGTTGAAAACCCGAGCGGATCCGGTGGCGGCGAGGCCAGTGCCCACCCAGAAGGGCATTCAGTGAGGCGGTATCTATATACAGGTGATTCCCTAGCGGATGAGATTAATCTGAGCCAAGCTGACAATGTGCCATCAGAAGCGAGCCGGGAGTCGATGAGCAAGGCTTTGCGTTCGGGCTTCGCACAAAAGCCTGTTGACGAATCTCTCTCAGAGCTCGACGCCAGGTGTCGAGATGGAGCCCCAGGCTCTGCTAATGATCTCGCGGTGGGCCCTTTTGGGGCCTTCAGCCTCAATCCTCCACCTCAAACGAACATCCCTCGCAGCGATTCACCTCGGCCAATAGTTGAACAACAAACCATTGATTCCTTCCAGGGAGAGAATGCCTTGCCGTCTGTTGAGTCTGTCGGCAGCTTGAGTGATATGCACGACTTCCTGGACTGGCCTGATCTTTTTGACCTGGAGCTGGCAAGCTATGACATATTTCCGCAGACGTTTGATGGTGAAGCTCAGGAGATTTTTCCTGGCCAGGTTTCTCCCGTCCCACAGATCAACAAGTATGATGATGTCGAACTTGAAAGACGTAACAACCATCATGGCATCATCCCTACGTCCTTGGTTTCCAGAGACAGGGAGACAAGGGTGACACTCGCCGAGGTGGACCCTGCGGAAGCGCAACTACTTCTCACTCACTTTAAGGACCACGTCATTTCTCAGTTGAGGATCATGCCTATCGAGAAGAAGTCGCCGTGGGAGGCCAACAATCTGAATTCTGCAATCATGACCTTGGCAAGGCTGACTTATATGACTTCGCAACCGATAACTCACGCCGCGCTGGTCAATCTGCAAGCGCTCCTGGCTCTGTCGGCAAAGAATCTGGCAGCTCAGGATGCGCAGCATGATGAATCTTCTTCAGTATATTGGCAAGACTTCGCAACCAGCATTGTTAACAAGGCAAAGGAAAACTTGCAATGCTCCTTACGCAACGAAACCAGAGGCACGGGCGCCGCCAAGTACAAAGACCAACTCATGGCAATTCTCACTATGCTGACATATGCCGTAAGTCCCCAAACACTATCAGCACGTTGTTGCTAACTTTCCAATCGACACTGCATGATAAACAACAAGAGGCTCGTGCATACATGATCGATGCTGAACGGTTACTTCGGGTTCGAGGACTGGCGAAAAGAACCATTTCACGAAAGGCAAGGGAGCTACATCATGTCTATACATGGACGAGGATAGTAGAAGAGAGTACTTTTGTCTTGCGTAATTATGAAGCAACCAGGACAGATGCGGTCGTTGGAGGTTTAAATCAATCGAGAAACTTACAAATGAGCCAGCCTCAGACGGGGCCCAATCCTCGCTTGGACGACTTCCTTCGACTCAACACACCAGCCTCTGACAGCGAGATTGAAGCTGGAGCACAAAAGGACAATGAAACTGGACAGCGTGATATCCACCTTGAAGACAGCCGAGAATTTCTCCGGAGCATGTATACTGAGCTCTACGGGATTTCGGAGACTTGGCTAAGCCTCGTGTCACAAACGACGAGATTAGCGAATGTCATTGACAGTTTGGAAGCCGACAAGAACCGACCCGATATCACATATATGGAAGCCATTGAACGACGAAAGCAGCGACTGGAAAACATGGTCTGCTCATTTGCGGCGATGGACCGTCAAGATGTCATCCACCAAGCGCCTTCTACCGCACAAAGACCAAGTATTGAGACTGCCCGCGACTCAATGGTGCGTGCGTTGAACTCTGCTCTTGTGATATTCTTCTACCGGAGAATCAGGAGGGTCAACCCGTGGATTTTACAAGAACATGTCAAGAGCGTCATACGGGCTTTGAAAAACTACGAGACTTCGTGCAGGGACGCTAACATCCAGGGAACCGGCTCTCCCTGGCCTGCATTCATGGCCGGGTGTGAAGCGCTGCAACCGTCACAGAGAGAGTACTTCAGGGATTGGTTCGATAGGAGTTTCGCTATAACTGGGTTTGCAAGACTTAAAACAGCGAAAGATTGCGTGGAGGAAGTATGGAGGCGTCGCGATCAACCCCTCGCCGCAGATGGCACGAGAAACCGCGATCAAACCCGCACGTGGGAACAGATCTCGAAAGAACGGAACTTACATTTCCTGCTATCTTGACCAATACCAACGATGCCAACATCACCGATGGAGATTTCCAGAGACTCGGCACTTTTGCTCATGAATTCACAACCTTAAGTCCAGCACTTTGCAAAATTTTGCCTAATTCTGCTCGCCGTTCACCAGTAAGCAACTTGAAGGGCTTCCTTAATCCTCCAGTGGGATAACCGAGCAGCTCCATGGCCGTCTTGACAGCGGACGGGTAGTTATACTCCTCCAAGAACTTGCAGATCGGATAGATCTGCGACCACAACTCTCGACCTGCTTTGAGATCACCATTGACGGCCAACGTCTCCCACAGTTGAGCTGAAAGCTCGGGAATGATGTTTGACGCACCCCACACTGCTCCTTTGCAGCCTGCAGCCAGGCTGTAGAACGTCAAGGTGTCCCACCCATTGAAGGCGGTAATCTGATCGCCCAGGGAAAAGACCAACTCGGTGAATGCAGGTGCGTTGCCTGACGTGTCTTTCAGGTATCTCACGCCAACTTTGGAGAGCCCGGCAATTTGCGTCGGTGTCAGGGTCAAGCCGGATGCTGAGGGGATATTGTAGTAGACAATATCCAGATTGGAGGCCTCGTGGATCTCAGACATGAGTTCCTGGAGCTGCTCGTAGTTGACGGGGTCATAAAATGGTGGAACAACCATCAAAGCAGTGGCTCCGGCTTTTGCAGCATGTTGGGCCAGCTCAATGCAGTCTTTGGTCGTCGTGGCGCCAATGCCCACCACGACAGGTACTCTTCCAGCAGCATATTCGAGACAGAGCTCAAGATTCTGTTTTCTTTCATCCATGGTCATGGCTGTGAACTCGCCAGTGGTGCCACCGGGGACCAAGCCATGGCATCCAGTATTCACGATATGGTCAATATGCGATTTGAGACGATTCTTGTCGATGGCAGTGCCGTCATCCGTAAAGGGAGTGATCAATGCTACGAGGATGCCTGTCAAAGGCTGATTTGCGGAGCCCATTTCTGCTGATAGCTTCGGGAGAACAGTGTCTGGAGGTTGAAGATCGAGAATTGCGAGCAACTCGTGAGCAGAATCTACCTAGGTAGTCAGAAAATAAAATGATGTTTCCAACTCCGCGCCATATAACACCTCTTTTGATGTTGATGTACGCCTTTCCAATAATCATTGCAAGGAATCACCTTCTCAGCCTGGAAGTTGCTAACTCGAACAACGAACACGAAGAGGCAAAGTGTCCAGAGGCCCTCATGGTCTCCCCGCGAGCTCTGTAACATGCTGGTTCGGAGGTGTATCTGTGTATTTAGTAAGACCCACCCTTTCTTTATCTCCACCCTTCTCCTTTTGTCATTCCTTTCCGGAAGTTAAGTATCGGCTGTCATGAACAGGGCAGGAGATTCCGGCGCTTATCGCCTTGTACCAAGTCGGACGTCCACATTGGGTTACACAGGCAACAGGCAGGCTTTGATGGATTGGAGCCGCGATCAGACGACGCTCGGGTTCGACGATGTCTCCCATCACCCAAACCCACGACGTACTTTTGAACCGATGCCATTAACACTTCAGACTCTCTACCTTCCGCCACACGCCGACAAGATACACCAGGATGGCAAATCGACCTCCATCACTTGATCCCAATGTATTTTCCATTGAGGATCTAGAGGCGCTCGGCGCCAACAGGCTGCCAAAAATGTATCGCGGTAGGTAGATGCTGGTTGGGCAGACAGAATCCACAAGCTTGAAGATCTCGAGGCTGACTGTCCACGAGAATATTACAATGAAGGTGCCATGGACATGATATCGTAAGTCTTGCGCCTCCAAAGAGTCTCATAACAACAAGGCCATCATGTTGCAAGAGCTCTGACACTGTCAGACTGCGGGACAACGTCGCAGCTTATGACCGGTATCGAATCCTGCCGCGTGCTTTGCGTAATGTCCAACATGTCGATACTTCTACGACATTATTCGGATGCAAGGTAAGTCATTTGTCTCCATTGTTTGCACGAATCCTTCCACGCACATTCGGACCAGTTCTTGTCGCCAACCGTCAATTTCGGCCCAGGTCACATTCCCGCTGGGCATCAGTCCGTCGGCGATGCACAAGCTAGCACATCCAGATGGAGAATTAGCAACGTCACGAGCCGCTGCAAGCATGAACATAAGCATGTGTCTTTCGTCCTATGCAACCACGGCCCTAGAAGATGTCGCCTACGAAGGGCGCGGGAACCCGTACATGATGCAGATGTGCGTCGTCAAGGACCGGAGCAGAACCAAGCAGCTTCTAGAAAGAGCCGAAGGTTAGTTCCCATCCCCTCCCATTTCCAAACCGGCACGCTGACGGGGGGCGGAATCGTCCAAAAAGGGGCTGGCTACAAGGCCTTATTCGTCTCAGTTGATGTGCCCGTCCTCGGACGCCGTCTTAACGAGTTCCGCAACGATTTCACACTTCCCAAAGACTTGAGCTTTCCCAACATTCTATCCACCGGCCAAAACGAGTTCTCAAAGGGGCCAAGCTCGCAGGATTATGGTATGTCCTCCAGGTTGGGAGTGAAGCCGCCCGGACTGTATTTTACTCAATATTGTCTCGTCTAGACTCCAGTTTGGAATGGGCTGAAATCATCCCCTGGCTCAGAAACAACACAAAAATGCAAATTTGGTTAAAAGGCAGTAAGTGGACCACAGTAACAGAGAAAGCCCCTTGAGAGTCTGCGAGGGCACAAGAGTGACAGACTGCGCCCAGTCCTCAACCCGGCGGACGTCCAACTTGCCATTGACCACGGAGTGGACGGTGTGATAATCTCCAATCACGGTGGCCGTCAGCTCGACGGAGTCCCTGCGACGCTCGATTGCCTGAGAGAGTGCGCACTGGTGGGCAGGGGCCGGATCCAGATCGCAGTGGACGGAGGAATACGCCGTGGTTCGGATATCTTCAAGGCCATCGCACTTGGGGCTCAGCACTGTTTTATCGGGCGGATACCGATCTGGGGCCTTGCCGTAAGTGTTGTGACGCCCAATGGCCACCGGCCCACTGCTGCTCATCCCGTCTGGGGCTAATGGGTGTTGTTGCAGTACAATGGACAGCAGGGAGTCGAACTGGGCTTGAAGCTCCTCTTGGAGGAGTTCCGAACCACAATGGCACTTGCAGGGTACTGCTATACACATTTCCGCCCACTCAATGTGGAAACTTACAGCCCATCCACTGACCAAGCCCAACTTTTAGGTGCCGCACAATCAGCGAGATCACGCCAGAACACCTTACTTTCCTTGGACCTGGGGGACGACTCCACAAGTTGTAGAACCGCGTTTTGCACCGATGTCTAGACGTGTGTTGCAGACTGCAGAGGGTAGTTTGTGAATGCAGAGAACTTTATGAGTTTACAATGACTTGGGCTCAGAAACCATCATTTCTACGTGAAGAACAAACACGTGCAAGCCGGTCTTTGTTGAATTGATCCGTTAGGGGGCGTGAAGGAGTGATCTGTGGACGCGACATTTCCAGCTCACAAAAAGGTTCTCAGATCAAACGCACAGCCTGACAACCAATAGCTCCAGGGTCCGCGGGCAGTATGCTGCGCATCATCGTACCATCCACTGAGTTTCGATAACGCAGGAACAAGTGTTCTTGGAGCGGGCAACCTGCCGCGAATGTCACTTTTTAAAACGGCGACAGTGTCTCCTAAACATGGTAAGCGCCAAATGGCTGTTTACTGGGCCCATCCAACGAGACGGACACTTGACGGCACAAGATGAGTTAAGTCTACTCGCCGCTTTAAATGTCGCGCTTCCCTTCCCTCACCTCGCACAGCGGACGAGATATTGTTGGCTCGAGCTGAAGCTGATGGATGCCACGGAGTTTATAGAGAAGTTATTGAATGTCGTAGCTGGGATAAGGATGTCGATAAGACCAAGACAAGATAAGCTGAGACTCTTCTACGCTACGTCCTATAAGCATCGGCCCCAATGATCTCAATTTACTCTACCTCGTACTGGAGCTATAGCTTCTAATGCCGGCACTATAGCTAGCACCTGGGAGCCGCACGATGAACGTTGTACGAGAGAGTACGCGAGAGCCGAGCGGACGACGCCGACACCAGGGCTCCGAGTGGTGTCGACACGGCGTGGTACCGGCGAGTTGGAGCGCTGCTGCATGGTCGAGACGACATCGCCAGAGAGGGATCCCGTTCAAGTAACCCATACCAATGAGTAGGATTTTGGCTGCCATCCCGCCAGGAAAGCAACTCCGAGGATGGCGAACCACATTCCAATTCCAGCTACCTCCAAGGCCCAGCCCGTAAGTCCGAAGCACCAAGCGATGATGAGTCCTGCATGGACAACCACACAGAATCCCAAGAAGACGTCGAAATGCCAGCGTTTCTACAGCAGTTGTTAACCAACATACTTACTGCTTCTAGAATTGATTGACTCTTGGTGACTCACAATGACTTTTCCAGAATAGTTTCGATCTCCAGCGGCGTTCCCAATAATTGCCAGGCAAGTGGCCGTGAACCACAAGCTCAAGACCGCTAGAAGACTGTAGATGATGATTCCGGCGAGGCTGCCGTTGATAACTGCCGAAACAATGCTCAACGCCGACATGGCGCTGCGGAGCCCAAGAATAACAAGCATGGCAATACGCCGAACCCGCGCTTGCCCATCCGGCGTGTGGATGAAGTTGTAGGAGCGCGGCGAGAAGGTGAAGAATCCACGCAGCTTGGTCCATCTAGCAGCTGCCGGTGAAGGGGCAGGGCGTGATGGAAGTTCGTCTGGAAAGTATCCGCCTCCGTAGACAGTCTGTTCGCTGTAAGGGTTCTTGTCCATACTTGTCCCGTTGCGTTCGGACTCCATGGTAGTTGATCAGAAAGAGAAAAAGTAATCGAAGGAGCACTTAATTGCAAACAAGCAGTGAGGGGGAAGTGCTGGGTGACCTTTTGCACAACCAGAAATAAGAAAGACCAGGGACAGCATAGATGTTGAGGACTGAACCGGATCACCTCGTCGACTCCGTACGCGCAATGGCAATAATAGTAACAGGGAGTGGCAGTCGATGCCCTCCTGAACCACGAATCCTGGTCACACCTGGTCACACCTGATCACGACTGATCAGGGCTGATCAGGGCTGATCAGGGCTGATGAGAATTGTTTCATCCCGCCCGAGCTCTACAAGGAGCATAGGCGGCCTGGTTCGCATCATGAAGAAGAGAGACCAGCCTCAGCAAAGGATGCCCTACATGGGGGCGACAGGTGTGAGTCTCGATGGAGAGATTGTGGGTAACAAAGCGAGATTTGCTTATTATTCGATCCTATCCTTAGAGAGGATGCAGCACTAATGGAGTGAGCTGTCTGGTACGGAGAGCGTACGGACTGGTGACATTAAGGGTTGCTGCTGGCAACGCTTGATGTGCGAACTAGCCATGCCGGCTGGAGGATTCCGCTACATTTGCAGCAGACGCCAGTTTTGGGGGCCGTCCGCGATCCTGAACGCCATCAATTTCCACGAAACGTCCGCGCTGGCCTGATCGAGTGGTCTGGTACCTCGGCTGTTCGCACTCCCGCACGGCAAACAGTAAACACACGATTCTCCTTGTCGCAAAGAGATGTTGGTTTACTCAATCCATGGAGTCTGTCGCTGAAGTTTTGAGGGCTGTAGGGGCGATTGTGTCTTCGTTCCAGGCCGCTGCAGACGCGCTCGAGTTTATAAAGGAGCGCAAGGAGAAGAAGAAACGGAAGAAAGACAAAGAGCTCGAGGAACTGCTGGAGATCAAAATCTTGCACAAGTCACTTATCGAGGTCAGAAGAGCGTGTCTTTCATTTGATGGCCGCATAATGATGTGTTGTAGGGCGGGACGAGATGCCGCAAGCACTGCGAGAACAGACAACAACAGTTCGGGAGCGCATTCGAGATTGGCGACGCGATTGCGGTTCCAGCGCTCAAGGAAGTCGTTATCAGCATTCAATCGGAAATCCTCCAAGCATTAAACCTCGCACGGGCGGTGGACAGCGCAGTATTGGACTTCACAGCTCTTCATGAATCGTCGGTGACAGGGCGCAAAGATGCGACGAGGGCCATGGACCAGCTCTGTCAGCGCATCATGGCAAGCATGCAGGTTGGACCGAAAAGCCGCAGAGAGAGCGTTGAAGCGACGACTCCCTCCTCATCCAGCCTGTTTTTTAGCTATGCAAACATGCAGCCGTTTGAGGACCATGAGAGATTCGACAAATCATTACCTTCGCTGCCATCTGCCACGGAATCGCCACCATCGTCCATTTACCAACGGACGCTGCCCAATCGTGCATTTACTGTTCGCCAACATAACGAAACGGCTCTCCAGGCCATCCAGAAGAGCAGGTCGCTCTTATTGCCCGAAAGCCGAGCGTCAAGAGCGACTGATTTGCTAGGTCAACAGGCGGATATCGATTCATTAGTATCTCGTCCGATTTCGAGCCTGGCCCAGGAGCAGCACCCAGAAAGCTCACCCGACCTAGAAGTTGAGCAAAGAAGCAAAGACTCGATACGTGATTCCGCCCTTGGAAGCGACCGAAGCTCTGAGCATTTACATATCATGAAAACCGCATCAGTGGCTAAGTCAATCGAGCTGCAAGGAGCTCCAATCGGTGGAATTGCCGTGCACGAGAACCCTTCACATTTCATCCCACCACCGGAGCCAAAGCCTCCAGCCGTTGAACCGAATATACAAGCATCCGATATAGAGAAGCAAGACTACGGAACAGCAACTCCCGATCTTGCATTGCCCACCTCAAATGTATCACCTACGTCTTCTTTGACACCAATACCACTTTCGGGGCGCCTTTCTCGCATTGAAAGGCCCGAAGACGTGATGCGAGCTCTCGAAGCACCAGAGGTGGTGACGAAAGAATTCGGAATGATGTTTTCCATGCGGCCGATTGCACCTTCTCCAACCAGTCCTACTGGCGGCTCTGACAAGTATTTGGCGTTTCGCACGCAATCAGACTATGCAGAAGCCCTGTTTTCTCTCAGCCCAGGAATGGACAATATTTGGGCTCCTCTGTCACGACCTGCAATGCACAATCGATATCATGGCTTTTGCAAAGGCGCATGGCAGATGCGCAAAGCGGTGAGTTCTCTTTGCGGTGTGCCCCGTACTGTTGGGTGTTGGAATTTTGTTCTGGTCGCTGATTTTGTATTGTATGAAGGTGCATGAAGGTCTCGAAGTCCAAATAACGGCGGCTTTGAAAGAGCCAGTCATTCACTGGGCTTGCAAAGTGTGTAAGTTCCGCTCGAAAGCTCCGCACGCCGACGCTCTTCCCGACCAAATACTTTTCAATCAAAAATATGGCATTCGCTATCGGTGGCTGTTTTTGGCAAAGTCGCACCGGAGAACAGACACCTTATCGTAAGTACAGAGAGGTCACACTCTCCGTTGCAGTTCCCTAGCTGACTGCTCAAAGTGATGTGGCTGACAACTACCAATACGGCTGCATGTTCTGCGCTGCCGAAGGACACTCGACCGCCGCCCATGAGAAATTGGAGCATCTATGGCTACATATAGTGTCGAAGCACAGAACAGCAACAATGACTCCACAAGTCCGAGAGAAGACAAAGTGCGCGGTTGGAAGTATAGGAACTCAAGACGAGAACTGGGACATCAATGTTCCGGAATCGACCAAGAAAAGCGCTGGCGTTACCACCGATGAGTTTCTCTTCTCAGCGTCGAAGCTCTTTAGCTGGAGGAAAAGCAAACGATGACGATGACGAGACGAGACAATTCGAGTCGTCTCGTCTTACAACTACCGCACAGCTATCTCAAACCGTCGTCGAGCACTTTTGCAATCACCACCGGCTCTACAGTGCCACCGTCGCGTCACTTCTGGCGCAACGAGAAATTCGGTCCCATACTTGGAGAGCCTGATCCTTTATCAACCCGCCGGGCTGCACGCCTGTGCTGGAGTACAATCACGTCCTCCTCCGTACTGACGACTTCATCATGAATGTGATTATTTGGGTAGAAAGACCCTGTCGCAAGCATAGCAATCATGCCGAGATGCGAGGGATGGGATGATTCTGAACCCAGAAAATATGGAGCTGAGATTGAATCGTGCTCTTCGTTCGATGTCGATTTATTATTGCACGTCGTTTCCGAGATGCCTGAACTGTATGGTTTTAGTACCGATTTGTTCGCTGTATTATTTGCTGAGTTTTGGATGCCGGGCAGCTAAAACTGCATGTTGTATATTACCTTTACTCGGCCAAGGCGACACCATATTACAGCCTATTGGCTCCTAACTTTCACGAATGTCCCTTAAATATCGCCTTTGTCCCTGCTCCGCAGCATAATTGTCCCTTAGCGGACAATTATAAAGGTCTTCTCCTGCATGCAATAGTGCTCTATATTCACGCCAATACTGCAGCGGTGTCAAATATCCCTAGTGTACATTCAAACGCCTTCCGCCCCGAACATAAATAAAAGGTGGCCGAACTGCAAGGCGATCAGTTAGGGCTGCTGATTATGGGGGCCAACAAGACAAAATAATGATGATACTAACATCGCGATTGCATCAATATGCAATATATCACCGCCCGCCATGATCCAGCAAATGTGTGGCCACAAGAAAATCTCACACATCTACTCGTACAGGCATTCCGCATCCCACACTGGCCCGGGCTGCTTACTCGCAATCCTGATCAATCTCACGATGGATGGTATCAATCATGCCCCCGGTCCAGGGGTTTCCATTGCACCATCTGTACCTCGTACTAACCCTCAATCTCGAACTCTAATTTCAGGATGACCGGTCCATGCAAATTTAAGGCATACGATGTCGCTTAAATGCGGCTGACTGATTGCTTCAAGGGTTCAAGCTGACATTAGCGTGCTGCAAGGCTGAGAAGGAATTCGACTGATAATTTCCGCCGGGGGATGCCTCGCCATCACTCTGTCCGCCAGTGCTTTCTTCCCCATGTGCTCTTGAATGCAATGGGCTCGACCAACTTTCGCACTCGACACTTGTCGCAGTCAAATGTAGCATTCTCATTATCGTAGGCTCAACCTATGAGCTTTTTTCCTTTTCTCTCTTGGATTCGTCTTTTCGTCGCGCCCAAGTTGCGTCCCGCGTGAATCAGCTCTCCCCCAAACATGGCGACTGCCACTTCGACAACAGCGTCGCCATCTCCGTCCAGTACACAAAGAGCGAGTGGCGATAATGGCATTATCTCTGGCGGAAATCCGTCCGTATACGACCCAAGCAACCCCGTTCGCATTCGCCGCTGCATGCTGCTGGAGCCCGATACTGACAACGCATAGATCATATTGTTCATCATCCAAGCGAGTATTATCCTCATCGTCTGCCGGGCTCTGCATTTCCCGCTCGGATACCTCCGCCAGCCTCGAGTTGTCGGTGAGGTCCTGGGCGGCATTCTTCTCGGACCATCAGTCATTGGCCGCATCCCTGGCTTCACGGACGCCATCTTTCCCAAGGCTTCAATCCCCAACCTCAGCAATGTGGCGAACCTAGGACTCATTCTTTTCTTGTTTATCATTGGCCTCGAGGTTGACCTGAGGTATTTCTTCAGCAACTGGAAAGCTGCACTGAGCGTTGGACTTGCTGGCATGATTTTCCCGTTTGCCCTGGGCTGCGCGATATCCTACGGCCTGTACCATCAATTCTCGAACGAGCCTGGAACGGAACCGATCGCGTATGGGACCTTTATGCTTTTCATTGGAGTCGCCTTGGCCATTACAGCGTTCCCTGTGCTTTGTCGAATTCTTACCGAGCTGAAGCTGCTCTCTACGCCCGTTGGCATCATTACTTTGGCTGCTGGTGTTGGAAATGATGTCGTGGGATGGGTAAGTCCTCCAACATTTCGGTCCCAGGAGCTTTGCTCGTCTAACTTCTAACAGGTACTGCTGGCTCTCTGCGTCGCATTGGTGAACTCAGGGAGCGGCATTACGGCTCTTTATGTCATTCTTACTGTTGTTGCATTCTGTTTATTCCTGACTTTCGCTGTGCGGCCGGGCTTTATGTGGGTGCTCCGACGTACACACTCGCTACAAGATGGTCCAACTCAAGGTGTCATGGTGTTGACGGTCCTAATGGTATGTTTTCTCACTAGCAACATGTCAGGCTGTTAAGAACGCGGTGTCGGTTACGATTCAGTCTGAAGTCGTAATTCCTCTGACAGTCGCTAATGGTTGTGTTCTTCAGTGTCTCGGCAGCGCTTTCTTTACGGGCGCAATTGGCATTCATCCTATCTTCGGGGCATTCCTCGCCGGCCTGATTTGCCCACACGAAGGCGGATTTGCTCTTAAAGTCACGGAGAAGATAGAAGATTTGATGTCTGCATTATTCCTTCCTTTATATTTCACCCTGTCCGGGCTTTCCACGAACCTCGGGCTTCTAGACGACGGCATCACTTGGGGTTACCTGATTGCGGTCACAATCATTGCCTTTACGACCAAATTCTTAGGTGCCGCTCTTGCCGCTCGGTTGAATGGAATGGTCTGGCGCGAGTCGTTCTCAATCGGCGCTCTGATGTCTTGCAAGGGCCTTGTGGAACTGATAGTTCTCAACATCGGACTGCAGGCGAAGATCTTGAGTGATCGCGTCTTCACAATGGTACGCGACTTTGCACGTTGCACTTTTATTGCTCTCGATTTTAACTTGTTCTAGTTCGTTGTCATGGCGCTTATAACAACCTTTGCCACAACGCCACTTACTTCAGCTCTCTACCCGCCCTGGTATCAGCGCAAACTTGAGGCGTGGAAGCGCGGCGATATCGATTGGGACACTGGCGCCCCTCTGCGCAAGGCTGACGGTGGTGGTGCCGGCGACGACATATCGCTACGGAAGATGGGCTCAACGAGGATTGGCAGTCTGTTAATATACCTCCGCCTTGACAACATGTAAGACTTTGCTACCTAAGGAGACATCCCTTCGAGTGAGATGCTAACTGTGCTAAGGCCGAACACACTGGCCTTCGTCTCTCTTTTTGGAAGCAAGCCTAGCAGCGAGAATACTCATCCAAAACATGACGACAAAGACCAGAATCGCCATTCTTCATCATCCGATGACATGAGAAGTGCAGTCGTGCAAATACATGGTATGCGTATTGTCCAGCTCACGGCTCGCCAAACATCAGTCATGAAAGTCTCTGAAACTGCCGAACTGAGCGCTTTCGATCCGGTTCTGAACGCTTTCCGAGTTCTGGGGCGGCTATACAACCTGGCGGTGTCTGGAGAAGTAGCTGTCGTTCCCGAAGATTCGTACGCTGAGACTCTGACAACTCGAGCTGCCGACCAAGACACGGATCTCCTGCTCCTCCCATGGACCGAGACTGGCAGCCTCAGTGAGGCGCCAATGGTTTCCAAAAATACTGTTGAGCGCAAGCTCAGAAGTGATGCTTATTCCAGCTTCATTACGGAGGCTTTCGAAACCGCCAACTGCACCACGGCGGTATTCGTGAACAAGGCCTTCAGTGGCTCGCTGGAGCAGTCTCCGGCCGCGCTGACGCGGCGCATGAGACGGGAACACATCACAGAGCTCCCTTCGGTGGACCGTGGCCACCACATCTTCGTGCCGTTCTTCGGGGGCGCAGATGGACAGGCGGCCCTTCGCCTGGTTCTTCAACTGGCAGAGAACCCCGAGGTCACAGCAACCATGACGCACTACCAGCTGAAGGGAGAGGATACCGTGATCGAGGAGGCCGTTTCGACCAAGGGCATCCTCGAAGACAAGATCCGCGTCTCCATTTCGGGCGAGAAGGCCGACGACGCCTTCTTCGTCACCGTGCAGCGCGCGCTGCCAGAAGAGATCCGGCCCCGGGTGACGTTCCGAACCAGCATCTCGTACGACCCGGTCCAAGACGCTGTCGCAGACGCAGTCACCGAGGTCGGCCAGCGAAGGAACAACGGTGGAGATATTATCTTTCTCGGCCGAAGCACGTCGATGGTGGACCAGCCTGCGACTTGCTTGGGCTTGGTGGCCGACTGCATACTCGAGAGGGATCTCAAAGCGAGTATGGTCGTTGTTCAGGCGAAGAGGGAACCGATCGGGGCAATGGTTGCTACTATTAGATGATCTTACGACGAGAGAAGGGTGTACTGGCCGGCTATCTTTATGACGTTTCATATCCTTTACGATAAAGCCTCTTCAATCGCAAAGTTGGTACCAAATGAAGGTGATACGTGATGGTAGAGGTGTCTATTTAAAATACTGAGGCTCAAGTGTGCTGCTTTACCCGGCTAGTCGTGCGTAGACTCACCCTTAGCTAAGTTGGATGGAATATGGCTAGTGAAGCCTTGGGCCTTTGCACATATCATCAGACCTGGATTATCAAGAGGCGAAAGGAAATCAAGTCGCTGCGAGCCATGACTTGCAGAACAGTGCTGATGCTGCCCCGGGTCAATCCAGACGTCTCTGGTCAGGACACAAACAAACATATTCATGTCGTCGCGCTTTCCGGGTAATGGGTATAATAAATCACAAGATGCCCTAGCCGTCCCCCCTCCCCCAGGACGCCCTCTCAACGCTCCTCTTGGATGCTTCGGTCTGCGTGATTGTCGTCGCAACGGAGTGATCAATCCTCCAGAGCTCCTCTGCCGATGGTCGCTTTCATCACCGCCGGACTCGCCTGCGCCAACCGCAGCAGACAATGGAACACCCATCTCTGCAGTTTTTGGCCGGAACTCGCGCCTTCGGCAATCTGGCGCGAGAGGGCCACCGCCGCATTCGCATACTGCCTCATCTGATCCTCGTACGCTCCTATGGCGTCTAGAATGCCGGTGTTGCCGCGGTGCGCGTCGACGAGGAGGTCGCTCAAGACATGCGCGTCGCGAAACGCGATGTTGGCGCCCACTCCGGCCATGGGCGTCATGTTGTGGATCGCGTCCCCGAGAAGCGACACGTTGTCGTTCTTCCACGGGGACAAACGCGGCATGGAGCGCAGGACAATCGGGGAGACGGTCGAGAGGTCTGCGTCCCTGACAACCTTCACCAGGGGTGAGGCCCAGTCCTGGACCCCGGCGAGAGCGATGTCGCGCAGCTGCGAGGACGAGAGAGCTTTGGGATCCGTGGGCGTCTCTGGCTTGGGCACCACGTATGCCCACAGCGTGTAGTTCTCGACCGGCCTCCGCTCGCCTTCGGTCGAGGGGAAGGAGGCTATGAACAGCCACCCCTTGCCGTACGGGACGATGTTGTTCAGCGAGCCGTCCGTCATGAGCGCCGGTAGACCCCGCGCGCGTTGCTCGTCCAACTGGTACCGTCCGCAGATGATGACGATGCCGAGCTCTTCTCGCTGCAGGTCTGGGAGTCGTTGCTCGCGGACCTGAGATTTGCTGCCGTCCGCCCCGATGAGGATGTCGCCCTCTGCGCTCGTCGAGTCGGCGAAGTGGGCGCGGACCCGTCCGCCGTCGAGGTGCTCATAGCGGGTGAAGGATTTGCCCCAGTGTACGCCGACAGCCCCGTCGTCGCTGCGACGAGCCAGGCCCCTCAGCAGGATATCGCGGAATTCCGCTCGGTGCGAGGCTCTCCTCTCCACGTCTGCCTCCGGTTTGCCCGAAATTTTGGCGTCGTCTCGCAGGGCCAGTAGGCGTAGATTCGTGTCGCGGAAAGCCCACTGCGCACCCGCCGGCGTCGTTGCAGCCAGAAACCGGTCCCAGCTTTCCGGGTCGAGACAGTGTTTCAGCGCCCGCTTGCCGTCGGCACCGACGTGGAGACCGTAGCCCGCGAGCTCGTGCGTCGGATCGGTGTGCCTTTCGAACACTTGAACCTCGATACCAGGCTCTCGCTGCAGGGCGTTTGCCAGGCAAAGGCCACCAAAGCCTGCGCCGATAATGAGGACACGCATGGCGCAAGATATGCTGTGTGGCTGGTCCGGCCTCGTCCAGTGTGGGTATCCCTTTCGGATTGCGTAGAGATCTCGCTCCTCTCACCGTGCATGTAGAGACGTCGATTGTGGTTGCACTGTGTTGTATGCTGCGCAGGTGTGTCCTTGATTGTGGCCATGAAACCCAGGATTATATCTATAAGACGTCTTAACGTTAAGCTATTTAGCGACGACTAGATGCCCGCCTCAAGAAGCAGGTTACTGTACGGGCCGAGCAGACTTCACGAGCATGATCAGGTAGTTGTGAATACCTCTGGCTGGGCCGCCTAACGGGAGGACGCCTGATGGTGAGTGGCGAGGTAGGTAACCTGTTTATCCGACATTGTGATTGGCATCTCCATCGATGGTGACAGACCACACATATGAATGAGTATCGCACGCCTCAAAGTAAGGCTTCACCAGCGCCAGACCGTCTTTGTATGCGCAACCATCCCCGAAGGAACAGATGTTAGTTGTGCTGTGCGGGATAGCGCCTGACAGTGCATCGTACACTATACGGAATAGAATCAAGTGCCTAATTATCTTGAGAGGTACACGCGTCTTGGCTCTCAAGGCGCGCCGGAGGTCCAACGCCACTGAAGTCTAAACTTCTTGACGACTCTTCAGATCCCAAGCTGTAGTAGCAATCTCACCTCTCGCTCTTCGCAGCGAAGATTCCCGGCGTTAATGGAATTTATAGGGAAGGCATGGCCGCGTTTGGCAAGCAGATATCCTGATGAGGAAATTTTTTCAAAGCGATCAAACTTCCTTTTATGGCAGGGTCCTACTCATGATACAGCATTGCTGCCTGCTCAGGCGTCTCGACAGAACAGTCCTACAATTATTCAGCATCTTCATCGCGAACACCCTGCGATGCCGAGGAAGTCATTGTTCTAACAAAGTCAGCCGCGGCGAGACCAACAACGACAAAGACCAAACAACTTGGACGCTGAAGAAGGCCAGATCGACTCGTGCTGGAGTTGTGGCTGCGGAGGACTCAGTCTTCACCATCGATGCCTCTGCTGGGACATGGACGAGCTACTTCTCGTCCCTGGCAGATCTCCTGCATCGGTTTGAGCAAGTGCGACACAGATGCCCGCTACAGAGCCGCAACTATCGTACTCATCCCAACGAACTTGCTGTGTTCGTGCTCATACTTTCTCATATGAGGCTCTGAACACCGTCGCCATAATTAAGTGAACGAGTTCAGCATCCTGGTCATTGACAGTGACGATATGAGTCGTGGTCTTCTTCCAGGTTAGCTGCAAGAGTCGGAAGATTTCGCAGAGAACGCGTCTCGGGGAATGTTTCCATGCTTCCACTCTGATACTTTCATGGGAATTCACTTGCGAAAGCCATTGTACCCGTGATTGAGTAAAAACGTGGCTGGGAAAGCGGGTTGGTGTTTCGTATATCGAAGCACACGGCCACAATTTCTTTGACCCTGAGGAGACCCTAGCCCATCACTTATTGCAAGAGAGGACGGTGTCACGACTGTGCCATTGGTGTGGTGTTTACGACCCGTCCCTCTTCAAAAATATGGGTCCCTGTCGAAATGAGTAGAGTATGCCGCCTCCCAGTTCTCCACGTGGGGATGCCGATTACCCGGCCCTATCTATCTGATCCCAGAGCTTGATAACAATATCAGACAGGAGTATCATCGGACCACCACCTTCGGTTGACGTTTCAGACATTCGTCTGAACAATGATTGTTTCTGTATGAACCAAACCAGGTCTGCCATATAATCCGACAAGGAGAAGGAAGATGCCTGCATGCGATACTTGCTACCGTCGTAAGGTTGTTGAGAATACAACTGCCGTCGAAGCGACCGGCTAACCAATCCGAACAGGTGCGATGTAAGGCCGAACACGGGCTCCCATGCTTGGGTTGCGTCCGCAACGGAGTTGAATGCACGTGAGAGGACCTTCCCAGCACGGCCTGACCGATGGCGGTTTCACTGATTGACTTCAATCCTAGGTTTGTTCTTGCGGAGCAGCACAAGATCAAGAGGAGGACAAGGCGGCGGCGTTCTGCACAGAGTGGCGCCAGTGTTTCCAGTCATCAACCTGACCTGCAATCAATTCAGACGACAACAGAAGCTTCGAGTCCTCCAGACGATCCCATATCCATCCCCATATCGGGCGAATCCATCAGTCAGCACCGGCCACAGCCTCTCATCCCCACCGAGGCAGACATAGTCGACGAGTCTCTGGCAAAGACCGCGTTGACTCGATTCTACCAGCAGAGCATCAACACTTCCACCTGGACGGTCTTTGACGAGACTTCGAATGTTCGCCTAGCGTACATTGGCACCCCGGTCTCCAATCTAGCCAGCCTCGTGGATGAGGAAGCGCATTTTAGCGGTTCTCAGTCAGGTTCTCTTCATCTCCCGTTTCCTTCGATAAGGCCGGTCAAGCCGTGGAAGCCGGCAAAGAGCTTGCCCCTGGTGAAATGGTACTCTTCATCGTTCGTCGACGACATTTCGGCCTTGCCGGTCAAAGACGTCCGGGATAATCTCGTGGATTCTTTCTTTTCACACATCCACCCGGGCTTCCCCATCGTGGATGAAGGCCTGTTTAGAAGCCAATATGATGACCCGAACAATCCACCGCCGCTTCTACTCCTCCAAGCAATCCTTCTTGTCGGTGCTCAAATCTCTGATCATCCGAAGGTCGCTAAGTCCCGATCACTGGTGAAAATGGCGCTCTTCCGACGGGCTAAGGCGCTATTCGACTTGCACTACGAGAACGATCGGATGAATCTCGTACAGGCTGCCTTGTTGTTCACCTGGCATTTTGAAGGCGCCGACGACGTGAGCTCGAATGTCTATTACTGGGGGGGAATCGCTTGTCGGATCGCCTATGGTCTCGGGATGCATCGCGATCTGTCCCATACGGCGGTGAACAGGATGCCTGCTTGTGACCGACGTCTCTACCGAAGGATATTTTGGACGCTGTTCCAGGTCGAGACCTTGGCCAGCCTGCACCATGGACGGCCCATGAGTATTGACCCAGATGAAACGGATCAACCACCCCTAGCCGCCGACGATTTCATCGAAGGCAATCAAGAACTCAACAAGAATGTAAAGATCGACTACTGCATCCAAAATATGGCCCTGTGCCGGATCCTGCAGGCCATCATCAAGTTTTCCTCTCCTGGTTCTCTCCGCCGGCATGCTGCGGATCCAGGCTCTTTCGAACTCACCCGGGCCTCCCTCGACTCGAGGCTTGCTGGCTGGTATCTCCGTCTCCCAGCATCGGTGGCCAACTTTTCCAAGCCTGGCGCCGACTTCTGGTCCCTCCAGCTCCAGCTGCATTACAACTTGGCATTGCTACATCTGCACCGCATGCCCGACCTAACATATCCATCATTCAAAGTGGACCCAAGCCACACATCCAGCAAGACCTGTCATACCGCGGCCCTTTCGATCGCCAGACTGTTCGACGACATCTCGGCCCGGAATGGAGTCAGGCAGTGCTGGTTCACCGCCTTGACGATCCTCCTCGCTGCCGCCATCCAGATCAGCCACGAAGCCCGCCTCGCGGCCAAGGCGAACATGACTGTGCTCGCGCTGCAGGCGCAAAGTCAGCTGGAAAGCCTGTTACCCGTCATCAAGTCCGTCTCCGAGTATTGGTCCGGCGCCGAAGCCATCCTACACCTCTACACCGACCTGTTGAAGCAGCTGAAACGGCAGACGCAGTCATCGTTCGCCACCCAGACAGACGTGAAGGCGCACTCTAATGTGTCCTATGAGCTTCCGTCCCCGACGAACGTGAACAGATACGCAAGTGATGCGGAAATGTCTCCCGAGCAGGGAAATAACCACCCACTGGGCAGCGTGGGATACTTGGGGGACGACTGGCAGGCCTTGTTTGGAGCCGGGGATGGACAACCTGGGGATTTCCCCGACATGGATCTGGGCATTGCGGGAGTGGACGATTGGCTGACGCTGCCTCGCCTGATCAATCAAACCTGAACGGCGCACATTAATGAAGAGCCCAGAGTGTGGAGGGTCTTTGCATGCGGAGCTATATGCCCTGATACTGCGAGGATGGTTGGAAGCGACCTGTATAGCGCGTCGCCAGTATCATCCCCCTCCTTAAACGGAGATCAAGGAGCGCAAAGCAAGCAGGTATTGGCCCTTTCTACGGCAATCTCACTCTCAGACTTATTCCGGGCCGGTCCAGAACTCTCCCGGCACCTCATCGTACTCCAGCACCTCATCCAAGGCCTCCTTGATTATCTCAAGGGCCCTCGTCATCTCCTCGTCCGAGATGGTAAGGGGCGGGCTCATGCGGATGCGATTCCTCGGCGAAACCACCACCAGAAGCCCCTTCTGCACGCACAGCGCGCCGATCTTGCGGCCCGTCACCGGGTACGCCGGGTTCTCCTCATCGACGTAGAGGCACATGTCGGCCCCGCAAGCGACGGCCCCGGTGAGGAACTCGAATTCGGCCACCCACCGGTCGGCCGTGTCCTGGAACCATTTGCCCAGCCGGGGCCCGCGCTCCATGTAGCCCGGCTCGTCGATGAGGTCGAGGGTCGCGTTCGTGGCGGCGATGCCGAGGGGCGTGTTGCCGTACGTCGAGGCCATCTCCGCCGTGCCCACGAGCGACATGACCTCCTCGGTGCCCACGACGTAGGAGCACGGGTAGAACCCGCCCTACAACAGTTCATTCAGCACCAGGCCTCCTGTTGGTTTGTTGGGTCGGGAATCGTTCATTACGTACCGACATGGACTTGCCCATGGCCACCATATCCGGCTTGACATCCGCGCCCAGATGCTCATAGCAGAAAAACTTGCCCGTTTTGCCGGCGCCCTGGCGGACTTCGTCGGCGATGAACAGGACGTTGTATTTCTTGCAGAGGTCATATACGGCTATGCCAGGGTCAACAATAGATGCCTTTTCTCAGTGGTTTGAGGAGAATGGGTCTTACCGCGCGAGTAACGTATCTCGTTCTCGGTCCTGTCAAGTCGTGTCGGTTAATGTCGCTATTAGCTGGACCAGCCAACTTACCTGTGAGTACCGTGCAGACATTCGATAATAACGGCGGCCACGCGCTGGTGGTGCTCGTCGAGACACGCCGTGACGTCCTCGACGTTGCACCACCTCATTGTCTGGCCCGTGCTGGGATTCACATTCGTTTGCAATTTGCTGTCAAGCCCATACCCTAACGGAGCAAGATCAGTCCCCCCTTTACGTTCGTCTCGAACCTAGGGCACCGACTCACCGGCTCGCTTGGCCGTCGGGTTCTGCAAATTCCACACGCCCGAGGTCAGGCCGTGGAAGCTTTCGCCGACCCCCAAAACGAGGGTGGCGTCCGCGGGGATGCCTTTCCTCTGGATGCCCCATTTGCGCCCGAGCTTGACGGCTGTGTCGGTGGCCTCGGAGCCGGACACGGCGGCGATGACCTTGTCGTAGCCGAAGCGGTGGCAGAGCCGCGCTGCCAGGGGTCCCCAGCCGGCGGTGTGGGTTGCGAGGTTGATGAGCGTAACTGGAACAATGTCATCAATACGAAGGAGGGAGGGTGTCTTTTGGATACAAACCCAGAGAAGTTACATTTACATACCTTTCTGCATCTGCTCCATCACCGCCGCCATGATCTTCGGATTGCAGTGGCCCGTGTTCACGGCGCTGAACATCGCGATAAAGTCAATGTACTCTTTGCCGTCGACATCCTGTCATTACGCCACGAACCGTCAGGATCCTCCACAGCGTGACCGCGAGAGTGGCAATGGGAAAGGCCACAGGGTCGTCCTACCCATAGTTTTGCGCCCTTCGCCTCGACGAAGAAGGCCGGCAACGGCTGGAACCCCCCGGCGCAGTACTTATGCTCGAGCCGGAGCAGCTCCTCCGTCTTCTTGGACAGGACGAGCTTCTCGAGCTGTTTCTGCGCGTGTGGCATTTTGGGAACTGAGCTGTTGTTGTTATTGTTGGCTTGGAATTTGTACCTAGGACGGGGTCGGTAAGGACAGAGAGGATAGTAATCTTTAGATTTCATTCCACCGGTGGGTAGGCATTTTGACACTACCTAGGATCACCGCTTCGGAGCGGTGCAGCTCGTGTGGTGCCCACAATACCGAGATGGAAACCCTTTCTTACCTGTCCTTACCCCTGCTCCACCAACTTGGGCTCTATCTTGTGGTAGACAGCCCATGTCTAGCTACTGTTCGGCGCCGAATCGCTTCAGATAAGAGAATAGACGCGGCTTCGCATTTGGCAGCCAGCAGCCCCAAATATCCAGGGTAGGCATGTGGGTCGTTGGGTGGGATGGGCTCGCTGGTTTTCTGGAGAACTGTGCCATCTGGATCGTTCGGGGCATGGTGCGATGGACATGAGCGCTTGGAGGGGCGGGACCACCTGCTGATATCGCTAAGTTGATGGCCAGAGAAACGCGGCCTTGTTGGGTTCGTTCACGCTTGGGAGAGCTATTGAGCGATACACCTATGTGAGTAGATGAGAAGACAGGGACAATCTCAGTGAAGAGCGAAGTCGCTCATGTGGGTCTCTCTCAAAGCACACTACACATCTCCCTCCCGTTACAGTATCTAAACCAACTATTGGCGTTGTCGAATCAATCACAACCCCAATGGCGCGAGCAAGACGACGCCCTTGCACTGCGTCGGTCTCCCGACTCTCACCCTCGCGGTCTTCGTGTTCAGCTCCATGACCACCCCGAAGAGAGTTGCATTCGCACTCGTGGCCGAAGTCGCGCGGTTGATGGCACCAGGATACCCCTTCTCGTCCTCGAGGAACGTCTCCATCGTCTGCACGGTCGGGCCCTTTTCGCTCTCGGCCGCCGCGCCGTCCATGAGCTCCGTCGCCCGGGCCATTCTCTCCAGCGTGTCTGGGCCGAAACGCCTGTCCTTGACGCCCTCGGTGTGTTCAACCAGGAAGTGGTTCGAATGGCAGATTCGGCCGCGCTGCATCTCCAGCTTGACCAGATCCTTGTGGCTGAATTCGATCGAGGTCGCGCCCGTGCCGTCGGCAATGAGGAAGTGCACGGCCGCCGCGACACCCGCCCGCTCGAGTTTCGCAATTGCCTCGACGCGCGAGGTCGAGTCGAGTGTGGCTCTCAGAGCGAGATGGACGGGGAGCCGGTCGTAGTCGACGCCGCGGGCGAGGATGGCGTTCAGACAGACACCGACCCCAGCGCTGTTCAGACCGACTTTGCCGATAATGCCGGCCTCGGTGATCATACTGATCGACGGCTTCGGGGCGCCTTGCTTGATATTGAGGTGGATCAGGTTCTTTTGCTGGGCCTCTTCCCACTGTGTGCCTCAAAGCGGTGGTCAGTTCACACGGATAGTGGGATCCAAGGTCGACTTACGTCCCAGTTCTGGGCCAGAAGCGAGACCATATCCGTCTTCCATGCAAACGACGTACATCCGTCCGCGAGCATGCCCATTGAGATCTCCGTCCGGATGTTCATGGCCAGGATTGTGTTGAACGGGAGATCCGAGCCCGCCGCAACGCCTTGACCGTGTCAGTACTCGCGCGAGAAATGTGCTGGTTTCTGTTCGGGGCTCACCTTTCATTTCCTCCACGTACTCGGGCCAATCCCTCTCCAACATCGGCACGAATTCGGCCGCGCGCTGACTCGCGGTTGCCCAGTCCATGGCGGACTTCCTCTGGTAGAAATCGGTGTAGAAGGCGAGGCTGCCGTGGATCTCGGCTTTGGCTTGGGTGCCATGTTGCCTGCCGATCTGATAATCGTCTGTTAGTCCAGGGACATGGAGAAGAATAGAAAGACCGTGTAGCGACCTCAAACGGCGACCCGGAGCATATAACCTCGCGCATCTTGATGTCGGCTGGACTATTATGTAGGTATCAAGGGATCAACCCAAGGTTACGCGTACAGCTAGGTGCTCATTCGACTTTGGATCTTCTGCCTCAGTCTCTCGACAGGAAATAGACCATGGAAAAGAGCGTGACAAGGACTTACTTTCCCTCTCACCTGTTTCTGAATCAGAAGCTGCGTATCAGCTAGAGCATCCTCTCTCCCTCGATCGATAGCTGGTCGTCGGTTGCAGTGGGAGTCGTATCTTTACCTCGGCGCCGAACTTGTCCAATCATAAAAACTACCAACTACTGGCGCGCCCTTGAACAATCGACGCTTGCTCGGGCAGACACCGGATTGCCGTTGAGATGAGGGGCTACAATATCTCGGGTGTTGTATTGAGTATATTTGAAGGCTATCAAATTGGCATGCATCTGATGCACTGCTTCAGATCCCAGTTCACCGGATAGAAATCTCTCGCCATGATTAACAAACCGTACCTGGAAGTCGCCGCCAAAGCCCAGGCCGAAGTCCTCGACGCCATTCCTGCGAAATGGAAGCTGTCTCCCGCCCAGCTAGATCTCGCCCCTAACGCCAATGTAACTGACATCCCCCGGACCTGCGGCCTCCTCACGCCGGCCCAGATCGCAATCACCGAGCAGACGGCGACGGAGTTGTTGGCCAAGATGGCGACGGGTGAGCTGACGAGCGTCGCCGTGACCGAAGCCTTTTGCGCGCGCGCCGCCATTGCTCAGCAGTTGGTAAAGGCCCTCCTGATCGTTTCCATTTCCAGTCCCCGTTCCTCTGGCTGACCGGTTCAGACGAACTGCTTGATCGCCTTCTTTCCCGACGAGGCTTTGAGCACGGCTGCCGCACTGGACGAGCATCTGGCCAAGACGGGCAAGCCGGTCGGCCCCCTGCATGGCCTGCCGGTCTGCATCAAGGACATGTACGACGTGAAAGGCCACCGGACCACGATGGGCTTCATCTCGTGGTTCGACGTGGTCGCAGAGAAGGACGCCGTCCTGGTGCGCATGCTTCGCGAGGCCGGGGCCGTCTTCCACGCAAAGACGACCATGCCGCAGACGGGTATGATGCTGGAGACCAAGAGCCATCTCTGGGGCATCACGCGCAACCCCTACAACCGGAGTCTCGGGGCCGGGGGCTCCTCTGGCGGCGACGGCGCCCTGATCG